CCTAAAACCGCTTTCATGTACTACTTGGTCCATGACATAATAACACTGTTTTATATGACGGCACTGTGGTGATGTGAATGAGAACGCCCCCTACAGGCTCACAGATTTGGATGCTTGGTCACTAGGGAGTAGCACTGCTGGAAAGGGTTCAGAGGTGCGGCCTTGTTGGAGCAAGTGTGTCACTGAGGGTGGGCTTTGACGTTTTCAGAAGCCCAAGCCAGGCCCAGTGGATCTCTCTTCCTGCTGTTTGTGGACCAATATGTAGAACTCTCAGCTTCTTTTCCAGAACCACCTCTGCCCGTGTGCCGCCATGATTTCTGCCATGATGACAACTGCCTGGACTTCCTGAAGCTGTAAGCAAGTCCCACTTAAATGTTTCCTTTTAGAAGAGTTTCTGTGGTCATGGTGTCTCTTCACAGCAACAGAACACTAAGACAGACCCTGTGAGGGCTCCATGAAAGCAATAAAAAAATATTTAACAAAATCACACACTTATAAATCAAAAGAGCTAGAACGCATATTAGTGGTTACCTTGTGCTAAAGGTAGAAAAACCAGCTGGTCAGAAGTATCTTCTGGAGTGGAAGAAGAAAATCTCAAAAACTAGATTGTAATGATGGTGTACAAAGTTTTGAAGTTTACTAAGTGATGGGAGATGTCATTCTGTAAATATGTTTCTCATACTGGTTAATGAACAAAGCACTGTTGGCCAATAGGAAAGCAAGATAGGCGGGACTAGGAGACAAGGAGGATTCCAGGAAGTAGGAAGGAGGAGTCAGTATGGAGAGACAGGGAGAGCAGACTCTGGCCTCATTCTCCGGTAAGATGAGACCACATGGAAATACTTAGATGAATAGAAATGGGTTAATAATTAAGACAGAGCTAGCCAATAAGAAACTAGTACCTGGCCAACAGCATTATATCTAATACAGCGTCTCTGTGTGTTATTTGGGCCTGGTGTGGCCGTGGGTCCAGGCCGGCAGGGAAAACCTACTCCTTACAACTAAGTGGAATTTTACATTTACAACAGGAGACAATATGAGGGCTGGAGGGGGTTAAGAAAGAGTACTTGTTGCCCTTGCAGAGAACCCAGGTTCTACACTCAGCATCCACATAATAACTTCAACTATCCAGAATTCTAATTTTAAGGGATCCCACACCCTCCTCTGACTCCACCAGTACCAAGCACTCACATGATACATGTACATGCACACACTAATACACATAAAAAATTTAAATCTAAAAGGAATTAAACAGGAGAGTTTTGTAATATGAAAATAACATCACCCCTTGGAAACCACTAATTGACTTTCTATCTATGTAAACTTTATAATTGATATCTCCCACAAGTGGAATCCTTTTGCCTTTGGCATATTGTGTCTGGCTTCTTTTACTTAGTGTAATGTTATGGAAATGCAGCTGGAGAAATAGCTCTGTTATTAACAGTGCTTACTGTTCTTGCAGAAGACCAGAGCTTGATTTCCATACCAGGTGGCTCACAATAGCCTGCAACTCAAGTTCCAAAGGATCCAACACCCTCTTCTGGCTCTTGCATACACATGCACGCATGGGGGAGGGGAGAGAGATCAAAAATAAAAAAATGTAAAATCCTTAAAAGTTCTTCCAATTTAATCTTTTGCCAGACACCGCTCTTCTTGGTGAGATCCTGTATAGGTCTCTGTATACAGTCCTTGCTCTCTCGGCGGCCAATCAACTTATAGTTTTTTTTTTTTTTTTTTCTGGTTTTTTGTTGTGTTTTGTTTCCTTTCTAATCGAGGTGTGAAAAGTTCTAGGTTCAGTTGAAGTTCCTGATGAAGACACACAACAGATCTTTTTCAGTGATAAATCTGCATATTTGTATTTCAACAATGTAGCTAAAACTTGGTGTAAAATTCCTCCTTTTTTTTTTTAATCCCCCTTTTTTTGGCTTAATGAATATCATTTATTCCGTATGAAATTTTTTATACTTTATCTTCCACCTGTTAAGAATGAATGTATATTAAATCTTGAAAAAAAAAGTTCTTCCAGCCATCAGCTGATAAATATACATTAGGAAGCTTCCAAATCTGGACCATTATTAATAATGCCACTGTCGTTTGAGTGTAAGTTTTTGTTGGGGGTGTGTTTCAAATGTACTTATCCACGTCTCACAGTTACATACATCTTCATTTCTGAATCCTTTCGTCCCTGATTCTACTGAATCCAGCCTCCAGCATGTCTACATGAAGTGGAAGGCCATATGGAACCTTTGAAGTTTAACTTTTTGAGGAATGGCACTGATCTTTTCCCCAGTACGCAACCATTTTATATCTCCAATGACTGACGCTGGTCCACATCTCTTCACACCCTCACAGATACGTGTTTTACTTTCCTTCAACTCCGGGTTTGATTGAGATGCCCTACTACAATCAAGACGGGAGAGGAATTGAGAATCATTCCTGACATCAACCTCCACATACACTTGTACACAGGTGCACACACATCCGTACATGTGTGCCCAAACACTTGTAAACATGCACACCACAGACACATGAAAATGAGGAAAAATACAACGGGAAAATAGAAATGCCAGTTATCCTAGAAAATGTGCCAGGCTGTAACACATGACTTTCATTTGCATTTTCCTTACAGCTTATGCTACTGAACATATTTTCATATGTTTTTATCCATTTGAAAAGCAGTGGATAAATGCTTACTGAAATGGTTTTAATTGTTTTTTTTAAATTGGATATAATGTATTTTAAATACCAACCCCACTAAAAATACTTTTCAAATATTTTCTTCTTCTCTATGGGTTGTCTTTAGCTTTCTTCAAAGTTTTCTTTGATGACTACAACTATTAAATTTAATGAAGTGTGACTTGCTTGTGCCTTTGATGTCACATTTACAAAGTTATCACCTTCTCACAGCTTCTGGTCTCTAAAATCAATCATCAGTAATAGGAACCAAGTCTCTTTGGAGAAATGGCTGATGCCAAGACCAGTCCAGGAAATGTACAAGAGCTGCCAGGATTAAATATCCATCTTTATTTACAGAAAGTATGGGAACGCTATCATTACGTATCTCGGAGCAACACAGGAGCCAATGAAAAAGCTCCTGTGCTTAAAGCTGCATTGACATGAGCAACAAAATTAACATAAGCCAGTGATGGTGTCACATGCCTTTAATCCCCCAGCACTTGGGAGGCAGATGCAGGCGGATCTCCTGAGTTTGAGGTCCCTTTGGCTAAAGAGTAAGTTCCAGGACAGCCAGGCCTACACAGAGAAGCCCTGTATCAAAAACAAAACAAAACAAAAACAACAACAACAAAATGTAGTACAGGATTGCATTCACAGTATAAACTATGCCATGAATCTACACCCCATAACAAACCACTGAATATGTTAATCAGTAGCAAGAAGGAATTCTAATTAAATTCCTAAACTGCTTTCTGTTTCAAGTGTTACAGGTGGAATATTGAAATATCCCTGTGGGGTAGTGGTTTAAACAGTTGTTCCTCAGCTGATAGTGCTGCCTGGGGAGACTATGGAGTCTTTAGGAGGACGGATCTAGATGAATGAGTCCTTGGAGGATAAGTTACCCCTGCCTGGTTCCTCTTTTGCTCCTTCATGATGAGGACCAGCCTCCATCCCAGGCTTCCAACATGAGCTGAGTGCCTCTCCTTCCTCGCCATGATGGATGTTTCACCACACCTTCCTTGACATGATGGACTGAATACCTCTAATACTGGGAACCAAAATAAAACCTTGTCCCTTAGGTGGTTTCTTTCTGGTATTGTGAATGCAGCAATGCAAAGTTAACTAAACCATATGGATTTATCCACTCCTGACATCATCAGACCCTTTGCAGTGTTCCCGGGTTCATCTTTGCTGCAGTGTGTCCACCAACCATTTCATGAGCATTTGAGTTGCTTCTGCCTTCTGGTTATTATGAATAGCACTTCTGAGAATAATGCAAGTTTTCATTTGGATAACTGTTTTAAACTTTTACTAGAAAATGCAGGTGTTAATCTTTGATTCAAAGAAGGAAATGACCAGCTATTTTAAAACCTCTGGTCAATCCGGCAAGTATTTACCGAGAACCTATCAGCTTCCCGAATGGCAAGCCTGGGGAACTACAATTTGAGGCAAAAAAATCATCCCTGACTTCTTGGAACAGAAAGGTAGAATAGCTGTAAAACTCAGACCTTTTAACACGTGGTTTAATTATTCCTTTTACGTGTGATATGAAGTGAAAACTACCTAGGAGAGAGGAAGGGATCCTGAAGGCGGGGTGGGGGTGGGTGTAATGGAGAAGGGCAATGAGGGAGGGGCAGAATTTTGAACAAAGTGTCATGGCATATATGTATATATACACACATGTAAACACATACATATGCTGCAGAACCAGTACTCTGTATGATAACTTACAGAACTAATTTCCAGGACAAGAGAGGGTTAGGGTTAGGGTTAGGGTTTGATGGCTCGGTAGTAAAGGGCGTCACCTAGTTTGTTGTTTGATTTCCACAAACTAGGCCTCGACTGAACGTTTCAAGAGGAAAGAGCCACTATCCAAACCTCACCGAGTCCACGCCTGCACTCATCACAGTGAGTGGGTCTCAGGGCTGTTTCTTTGCACTTGAATGGGCCTTTTGCCCCCCCTTCCCGTCACCTCTCTCGCAGGCCAAGTCTCCCTGCGGTGCCTCCTTTTCCTGCTGAGAACCCTGCCTCTCCTCCAGGCACCCACAAACACGCAGGACAGGCCGCTGAAGGGCTAGCGACCAGGTCACCTAGGACAAGTGCAGGCGACAAGCAACCGGGTCCCCGACAGGTTCGCACCGACCACGCCCACAGGCCACGGGGGGGGAGGGGAAGATAAGGTGGGCGTGACGTCACAGACAGCGGCTGCCCATTGGGCCGGCGTGCGCGCCGGGGCCGGAGGGCGTGTCTGCGGGTGCTGATTGGCTGGCTCGCGCCGGCGGGGGCGGAGCCGACCGCGGGCCGGGAGCGCGGCGGCGGCGGCGGCGGCGGCAGCAGCAGCAGCAGCATGGGTCCAGGCCCGCGGCTTCGCTGAGCCCTCGCTGGCCTAGGCTGCCCGCGGCGCCCGCAGCGGCGGCGGCATGAAGGGGGCCCTGGGGAGCCCGGTGGCCGCCGCGGGCGCCGCGATGCAGGAGACGTTCGGCTGCGTCGTGGCCAACCGCTTCCACCAGCTGCTGGACGACGAGTCAGACCCGTTCGACATCTTGCGCGAGGCCGAGCACCGGCGCCAGCAGCAGCTGCAGCGCAAGCGGCGCGACGAGGCGGCGGCGGCGGCGGCCGCCAGCGGGGCCGGGCATCGCGGAGGCCGGAGCCCAGCTGCGGCCTCAGGACACAGACCCGGCGCGTCCGGCCGCAGGGAGTCACAGAAGGAGCGCAAGAGCCTCGCGGTGTCGGGCGCACAGCAGCCGCTGGACAGCCCTGGGGGCCCGCAGCCGACAGGTACGCCGTGGGCGCCCAGCTCACCCCCTCCCGCCGCCACACTCGGGTGGCGGGGACCGGTTCCGCGTGGGCGGGTCAGAGCTGGGAGTCCTGATGGGCACAGGGCCCGGGGTCACCCTCCCGGGACCCACTCTGCAGGATCATGGCCCTTCAGGGCCACCCTTCTGGGTGGTCACTTTCCCGGGTCACCCTGTCTCGGTGTAGGGGCCGGGGTCTTACTCCCGGCGGTCTCATCCCCTGTGGGGGAGTGTAAGCAGAACCACGGACTCTTGATGGACAGAGGGCCCTTGGTCACTCTGCCAGGGTCCCTGTCCACGAGATGGAGTCGGCAGTCAGTCTCCTGGGGAGGGGGGGATCCTCGTCCCTGTGGATGCGTTCCGCATCGGGGGGGGGGGTGGAGTGAGCCAAGGTGGAGGTTCCTGATGGACGAGAAGGCCCGGGAGTGAGCTTGGAAAACCTGGCGGTCCTGGTTGGGTGGAGAGGCCTGGGACTGACAGGCTGAGAGGGTCGCGAAGCGGGGATCCCGACCTCTGCCCCTGGCTGCATCCTCCATCCTCCCCGCGGGCCTCTGCGGGATTCAGCCCCGTAGGCGACGCTCAGTTGAAACCTTCAGGGATCGCAGACTCTGGGCCTCGAGATTCAGGGAGGCCTGGGCACTCAAGGGTGCGGGATGGCAGAGCGTAGCCCATGGTGAGTGGGGTGGGTTTGGGGTCCCAGCTCCTCCGCACCTTATCTTTTCTCTGTCTTCATACCGTAGCGTCTGTGGCATCGACTGCAGGTGGGACAGATAGTATAGTACAGGTGTAACTAATTGATTCAATACTGCTTTTGGAGAACGGCTTTAACCTTTGCAATCAGAATGTTCAAAGTTATCCTTCCTGGTTAGCAGAAGGGCCAGTCCTCCGCTGGGTGTGCTGTCTGCACAGGGGGCGGCTTCAGACTTGGTGGCTGTCACCTGAACGGTTGCTTGCGGCAAGGCTTTCTGCAGCCAAGCTCTCGCCTCCTGCTTGCCCGTTTCCCCGTAAGACTATAACCGTAAGGCTGGCAAGAAGAGGTTGAGATTAGAGTGTATATATATTTTGACCACGGGGTAGGCAGATGTTCATGTGGCCATTATTGCTTTGTCCTTGCTTGAGGCAAACTGTCCCACCTCTGGCCTTACATTTGAGGCTTTGGCTAAGTAATGTTTACCTTCATCTGTAAAGTTAATTTGAGACATTGCTTGGGAATCAGAAAAGTGTGACAGTGAAGATGGACACCTTAGCAGGTGTAGGACTCCTTTTAAAATTGAAGTGCATCATTCTGTACATTTTGTATTATGCGTTTCTCTTAAATGTATTGAGAAAAATGGAAGGGAAAGAGTTGTGAAAGGCTGTTTTATCTATTTATTTTTATCAAGTGAAAATGCTACCATTCAGTGGTGGCAAACACCTTCAATCCCAGTACTGGGGAGGCAGGTCAGGTGGATCTCTATGAGTTTTAGGCCAGCCTGGTCTAAAGATTGAGTTCTGGAGGGGGAGGGGGTTGGGTAAATAAATAAACTAGCTTTGAAGAGTACCAGTTAAAATGGCTCGATTTTTGTTGTTGTCTGTTTGATTTTTGAGACAGGGTTTCTCTATATAACAGCCCTGGCTGTCACTTTGTAGATCAGTCTGGCCTCGAATTCACAGAGATATGACTGCCTCTGCTTCCCATGTGCTGAGATGAAAGGCATGTACCACCATGCCTGGCTAGAATGCTGATTTTTAGCCTTTTTAACATTAAAAATATTTTGGTTATGATGAACCTAGAATTTCATGCATGTTGAGTGAATGATTTACCACTTGAGCTTGAAACTTTCCCCCAGCTCTTGTTACAGAAATTTTAAATAATCTCAAAAATGTATAGAGTTAGCAAAAGTATCCCTAATTTTTCTTATGAGTAAGTAGCACTATGCATTTATGTACATATATTTTTGTAATGACAGCACAGTGTGGGTCTGGGGAGATAGGTTAATCAGCAAAATGTTTGTCTTGAAAACCTGAGGGCCCCATGTTCCATGCCTGACTGAATCCACGAGCCCCAACTCCCAGAGAGAGTTCCGAGGCCTGGTCTCAGAAAGTAAGGTATGAACACCCAGGCACACTGGCACGCACACAGGTACATTGCTGTGTTTTTGCAACCTACTCTCTCATTAGGAACTGTAAGCTAGTATACTTAGAACTTTTTTTGTTCAGTCAGTTCTCAGTCTAAGCAAAGCATTCTGAGATCTAGTTGATGTTGTTAGGATGGAAATTTTGTGATGAGAATTCTTTTCTCAAGTGAGCATGATGCCTGTATCTAATGGGCTACAGAGAGTGACTATAGGTGTTGTTAGCACTAATTGACATGAAAAAAAACCATGCTTTTCTGAACTCAAAACAAAACAAAAAGATTAAACTTAGCCAGGCAGTAGTGGCACATGCCATTAATCCCAGCACTTAGGAATCAGAGGCAGATAGATCTCTATGAGTTCCAGTCCATCCTGGTCTACACAGTTAGTTCTAGGATAGCCAAGGCTACATGAAGAAACCCTGTCTTGGAAAAAGAAAGAAAGAAAAAGAAAAAAAAAATACAAATTTTGAATGTCCTGAATGAATGTGTAGTGCAGACAAATACCACGCATAATTGCTATGTAACAAAGCTTGTTACTGATCTCAAAATGATGTGGAAGTCATTATTTTTCCCATGGAAATATAGATTTTTTTTTTTTTAGTGTTCTGATCTGTCTAATGATAACCCTTGGATGAGCCTTGCCCAGTAAATTCATTCTCGAATCATCAGTTGATCAGTTGTTTCATCCTGTTTTCATAGAATTTCAGGGTTAGGATGAATGAGCCAATATTCAGTTTTGTCTTATAGGAAGTCCTACTGTAAATTTTACTGTATTCTGTTTACTCCAGGATTAAGTTTAGACAAGTGATCAGACTGTAGGAGCCAACTCTTTATTGGAAAGGGCTGGGGAAATGCAGCATTTGCATCGCCTACTCTGAGCTGCTGATTCAGCACAAGCTAAGTCCAGTTGAACCAAGTTGTGGGGAAACAAAAAAAAATCTCTCTGCTTAATTTTGTTTTGGGGTTTTAGAAGAATGTAATGTTTGCCAGGTACTCATAATTATCATAATAAATTAATTTAATAGTTTCAGTTTATACACAGGGACCCTAGAAGAGACTTCATTTAATTGATAAAACTAGTAATAACTAAGAGGTAGCAGAAAGAAGTGTGAATAAACACTTCAGCAATTCTGTAGCTGAGCAGAGATACATAGTTAACAAAATATGAGTTGCAAGTAGGAAATCAGAAGCTGATTAAAATAATGTTTTTTTTTTCTTAAAACCTTTTGTGTGTGTGTGTGTAAGCATGTTTGCCTGCATTGTGTATATATATGATGTGTATGCATACAATGACCACAGAGTCCGGAAGAGGGTGTCAGATTCCCAGAACTGGAATTACAAATGGCTGTGAGCCACCACGTGGGTGCTAGGAAGTAAACTCAGGTCATTCATTGGTAAAGGCCACAAGTGTGCTTAACTACTGAGCCATTTCTCCAGCCCCAATAGTTTTGTTTTATGTTATGAGCGGGTTTTCCCTCTGGTCTAGTCCCAGAGCGGTGCCAGCCCCAAATAACACACAGAGACACTGTATTAGATATAAAGCCGTTAGCTTGTTACTAGCATTTCTTATTGGCTAGCGCTGTCTTAAATATTAACCCATTTCTATTTATCTAAGTACTGCCACGTGGTCTTATCTTATAGGAGAGAAGGCCCGGACCTCTGTTCTCTCAAGTCTCTACATCTTGATTCTCCTCCCTACTTCTTCCTCTCTCCTCCTAGACTCCTAGTCCCACCTATCTTGCTTTCCTATTGGCCAACAGTGCTTTATTCATTAACCAATAAGAGAAACATATTTACAGAATGACATCTCCCATCAGTTTTGTTTTTAAATACCTTTTTATTTGATGTGTAAGAGTGCTTGCTTGCCTGCCTGTATGTGTACCACATGCCTGCCTGATGCCTACAGGGGCTATTAGAACTGGAGTTAGAGTCTGTTTTGAGCTATTGTGCAGGTGTTTGGAATCAAACCTGGGTCCTTTGTGGAAGCACCCAGTTCTCTTAACTGCTGAGCCATTTCTCCAGCTCTAAAAGTTCTTTTCATTCTGAGGAATGCTGATGACTGGACTATCATGATAGACCTTTTAAATTTTTCAGCTTGTTAGTTTTAACAATGATAATTTACCCCTTATATTTCAAACACCTCTTCTAATTTTTATATTTAAAAATGTTGAGAATTCCATAAATGAATACCATATTTACATATTTTCCTCTTTCTTCTCCTCCCAACTCTTCCTGTGCTGCTACACCCCTCTCAAAATCAAGACCTCTTCTATATTATGTATTATTCTTACACACACACACACCCTACTAGTTACTGAAATGCACATGTATTTAAGGCTGGCCATTTGGGATTGAATAGCCCATCAGGGGGCTTGTCCCTAGAAAAAACCCCCTCTTTCTCAGAGGCCTTCATCTAGGACTGGGGCTCTGTGAGACTTTCCCATCCACACTGGCATATCAGGTGGTATCATTATGCATCCCTTGTGTAGATTTAACGGTAGAGCATCCCTGTCATGTCTAGAAGATACTATCTTTCAGCAGATGTCATGGCCCTCTGGTTTATCTTTCCACATCATCTTCTGTAGTCTTAGGTACAGGGGGTCACCTCTTCCAGTTTTGTGGTGTGTGTGTGTGTGTGTGTGTGTAAGCAAGAGAGAGGTCAATATTGGGTATGTTCTGTCACTTTTCACCTTATTTTCTTGAGACAAGGTTTTTTTTTTTTTAATTAATGACTTTATCTTATGTGCATTAGTGTTTTGCTTGAACTTACATCTGTGTGAGGGTGTTGGATCCTTTGAAATTGGGGTTATACACAGTTGTGAGCTGCCATGTGAGTGCTGGGAATTGAACCCAGGTCCTCTAGAAGAACTGAGACAAATCTCCGGACCCCTAGAGATGTGGACTTTTTTCTTTCTTTCTTTTTTTCTTTTTGTTTTGTTTTTTGAGCTGGGATTTCTCTGTGTAGCCCTGGCTGTCCTGGAACTTGCTCTGTAGACCAGGCTGACCTTGAACTCACAGAGATCCACCTGCCTCTGCCTCTGTGTGCCACCACTGCCTGAAGCATGGTCTTTCAGTAAACCCAGAACTCACTGTGTATCTCTACTAGCTAGCTAAGGAGTCTCTCTGCCTGGCCAGTGTTGGTGTCACAGGCATACACCATCAGGCTTTTCTTTCTGTAGGCTCTGGGTATCTGAACTCTGGTCTTCATATTTGCACAACAAACACTTTGCCCACTGAGCTCTCTCTCCAGCACCCAAATTTGATTTCTTGGTCATGTAAATTTTCACAATAAAAGCTTATTTATGACATCGTTCAATGTTCTACGCATACCACAAACTGGGATTGTGAACTCACTGGGTGATGCAAATTGTTTTTAAATATTTCTGGTTAGTCGTGGGACATTGAAAACATTAGGCTTTCAGGCGGGATGGTGCATATCTTTACTCCCAGCACTAGGTGGCAGGTAGATTTCTTGTGACTTTGAGGCTAGCCTGGTGTACATAGGAAGTTCCAGGCCAGCGAGGGTTACACAGTGAAACCCAGTCTCAAAGATTCGGAGATTGGGCTTAGATTTGTGGTGTAGTTTTTCATACTAAAACACTGCTTTACAGTTTTATGTTAGTAATATCACAGAAACTAAGAACTGATAATATATAGAAGTGCTAGACTTTAAAGCATAGGTAGAAAATGCTCCTGTGAAAATACATATATGCCTGTATGTGTATATAAGCCTGAATATGCAAATATACATACATATGTTGTCCATGAGAGGAATTTAACAGTTAAAAGTGTACCTATTTGAAGGAATTAAACATTTTATAGCTATACAGTCAGTGGGGAGAATAATTTCTGCTAAGGAAAGTGAAAGCCGTTAGAACAGAAGGTGCACGTACTGTTTGGGGAGACCATAAGAAGTGATGAAGCATCGCACAGCCTATTACTGACAGTTGCATAGCTTCAAACTCATGGATTTAAAAAGCTAAGCATAAAACGTAGAGATCAGGGCTAGTTGGTGGTGGTGGCACACACCTTTAATCACAGCACTCAGGAGGCAGAGGCAGGCGGGTCTGTGGGTTCGAGGCCAGGCCTGGTGTACAGAGCATTTTCCAGGACAGCCAGGGCTGCACAGAGAAACCCTGACTTGAAAAGCCAAAAAAAAAAAAAAAAAAAAAAAAAAAAAAGAAAGAAAGGAGAGAGAGAAATTGGTAGCTCCTGCTCCAGCTAGGTGCTGGATTCTTAGTAAAAAAAAAAAAAAAAAGACACCCTGTTTGAGTACTGTCTGCCTCTGAAATGGGTTAGAGAATATGTGTGAGTATTGTCACATGTAAATTCTATCAAAAAGCAAGAAAATCTAAACAATCATGCACACATTTGTGTTGAAGCAAGCACCTACCTTCATGTCAGAAGATAAACCCTAGTTGCCTTTGGTTCATTTGCAACGGGATTCCATTTTGTTTTGTTTTATCTTTGCTTTTTCAAGACTGGTTTCTCTATGTAGTCCTGGCTGTCCCAGAACTTGCTCAGAGATGTACCTGCTTTCTGAGTGCTGGGATTAAAGGCATGGACCACCAAGCCCAGCTGTAGATTCTAAATGTAAGTGTAGCCTGCGATGTTAGGTCTTTATCTTTTAATTTTCTTAGATGAATCTTTATCATTATGACTTGGTAAAGTTGTGTTTCTGGAATGCCATCTGTCTACTAAAAGATGTTCAATGACAGTCACAGAGGCACTGAGAAGTGCAGAGTTAGCCAGGCATGGCAGCATATCTGAGGCAAGGGGTCATTAGTTCAGGGCTGGCCTCCATTCCATAGTAACTCCGATAAGTTTGTAGTTTGTATGGGTTAGCCCTGTGATTTCTAGGACTTGGTGATGTTTAATTGATAATTTACAGACAAGGCGATGGTGGGCAGTAACTGTTTCTCTCTGAAACCCTCACTTTCCAGTGACTTTGATTTCTGGTAAAAAACCTCTGACCATCATGTCCACCCCATGCGGCTATTGATTCGGTGCCTGAGCCTTGCTTTGATTTCTCCTGGCAGGTCAGAAGCGGACCCCTAGAAGAGGGGAGCAGCAAGGATGGAATGACAACCGGGGGACAGACGTGCTTGATAGAGCAGAGCGAAGATCCTACAGGGAATATCGACCCTATGACACTGAGAGACAGGCAGACTTGACAGCGGAGAAGTTTACAGATGAAAAGTATGTACCTTAGTCCTCTGTTAGGGTGGACAGGGCCCCAGAGATTTCCAGATAACTACTAGGCTTTGTGACATTTCTGTGGTGGCAGTCCTACAAATAATTTGCCAAGGTAAGTCTCAAATCATGTTACCTTCAGTAGAACATGAAGGATCTTTCGTTTACCTATGGTTTTACAATTAAAAATTCTGTCCAGATGATGGCACATGTGTTTAATCCCAGAGGCAGAGGCAGGCGGATCTCTGTGGGTTCCAGGCCAGCCTATTACAGAGTGAGTTCCAAGACAGCCAGGACTGTGTAGACAAACCCTGTCTTGAAGCCCCCCCCAAAAAAAAATTGTGGTTTTGGGGTGTATGTAGCTCTGTGATTGAACGCGTGACTACCATGCACAAAGTTCAAAGAACTGAAGGACTATTTGGTGAACATATGAAAAGCCTTTTTAAAATTTTTATTTATGTTTGTGGGATTTTGCCTTCATGTATGTATGTGTACCACATGTGTGCCTGGTGCCCATAGAGGCCAGAGGAATGTCAGATCTGGAACTAGAGTTACAGATGGTTGTGAGCCACGATGTGGGTTCTGGAAATCAAACCCAGGTCATTTGGAAGAGCCAGTGTTCTTAACCACCGAACCATCTCTGCAGCCCCTGAAAAGTCCTCATGTTAAACAACAACAAACCCTAACAAAATACACACACACACACACACACACACACACACACACACACACACACACACAAATTCTTTTAAAGTTAGATTAGGAAATTCATTTTGGGCTTAGGGATATAATTATGAAATTTAGCAGTTGTCCCATGACCTCCTCGTATACACTGTGGTGCATGTGTGTATACATTCACACACGGTAGGTAGGTAGGTAGGTAGGTAGATGAGAGATAGATAGATGATGGGTGGATAGATTGATGGATGGATGGATAGATAGGTAGGTAGATAGATAGATAGATACATATGCAAAAACAAAACCAATGAACACCCTCCCCCTATCTTACCATTGAGGTGCCCACCTTTCAGGCTTTGGCCTGTTTTTCCATCTGTTAATCTACTGAGGTGGTAAAGTGGTGTCTTAGTTATTTTTTTATTGCTGTGACAAGACACCATGATCAAGGCAACTTATGGGAAAAAAGCATTTAATTGGGGCCTTAAAGTTTCAGAGTGTGAGTCTTTACGGATTGTGTTGGGGAGCATGGCAAGTAGGCCTGCTGCTGGAGCAGTAGCTGAGAGCTCACATCTGAGTTCTAACCACACGGCAGAGAGCAAGCTAAACGAGACAGCAATGGGCTAGTGAAGTCTTTTGAAACCTCAAACACTACCTCCCGTGACACATCTCCTTCAGCAAGACCGACCACACCTTCTAATTCTTCCCACGCCTCTCTAGTCCTTCCCAAACGCCACAAGAACCAAACATTCAAACATGACCCTGTGAGGGCCATTCCCATTCAGATCACCACAGATGATAATAGTACCACTCCATACCCTTTCGTTTCTTCTTGACACATGAGGGTTTTCCATGTGATCAGCAGTGTTTGCTTATTGTTTTTAGTTGTGTGTTAGTTGCACTAGATGTGGTCACTGCACACTGCACTCAGTGGCTGTATTGTATTGTGAGCCATTATTTGGGTGTATCATATATTAACACTTGCTTAGTGCTGTTGGGTCTGTGCTTGGCTGAGCATTAGGCTTTATTAAGATGCTTGGGATCTGTGTAAGGCATTTCTCCTCAGTAGAGTCCTGGAGTTAGAATGCCAGTTGAGGCTGAAAAGCTGTGACTCTGCAGGTGACCTATATCTGCCTCTGGCTTTAGTACAAAGTTAAATGGGTAGTAGAGATGGAATAAAATAAGACAAAACTGGGGTTGGGGGATTGTAGACCTGCAGCAACAAACCCTGTCATAGCCACCTATCTGTTTGTTCTGTTACTTCTCTGCAATAGCATCTCCCACGGCATGTTCTATAAACTGGGCTGTCATCCAGGCTGGTTTTTGCTTATTTCAATTAAAGTGCACTTACTTTGCATTTCTTTATACATGTTACTAGACAGAATTACAAAATTTTTGTTATCTTAAAAGAGTCTAAATTCAGCCCTTTCAACTTACAGATGGAAACAGAGACCCAGAGTTGGAATGACTCTGGTCTCAGCTAGTTGACAAGGATGTTGCCTCTGTACAGGCAGAACACGTGTTTTCCTTCAGAAGCGACATCCTATGTGTGAGGAGTTGACCGAGCCAGGATCAGATGCAGAGAACAGTCATGTTGGTGTGTGTGGATCTGGGATGCAGATACTCCTTGCAGCGAAGCAGGAGCTTTTCCTTAGGCCTCTAATGAACTTAATTGAACCCTCTGAACATAGACTTGTTAGGTTTGGCAGGTAAGAGCACTTGCTGTTCTTCCAGAGGTAAGAGAACCGAGTTTGGTTTCGAGCACACTTATCAGGCAGCTCACAATTGCCTGAAACTTCTGGTCCAAGGAATCCGATGCCCTGTTCTGGTCTCCACGGGCACACACAGGCATACACATAAATAAAAATAAAATAAACCATCGGTCAGTGGTGGCTTGCCTTCAGTTGCAGCAGGTACTCGGGAGGCAGAGGCAAGTGGATCTCTGAGTTTGAGGCCAGCCTGGTCTACAGAGCTAGTTTCAGGACATCGAGAGCTGTTATACAGTAAAACCCTGTCTCAAAAAAAAAAAAAAAAAATCTTAAAAAACACCAGAGTTTTCACTGTCTTTGGTCAGAAGGTAGAGAAAGTTCAGTATGTTAAAGATTCCAGCTCCAATATCACCTTCTGGCTGTGTATTTAGAAGAGAAATTTGGAGGGACAGTATTTAAAGCTAAAGTATTTTTCTTACACAAAATATTCCAAATTAAATGTTTAGTACCAAGACAGGAAAGAACATTTACATTTAACTAACACAGCCATTGTATAACTAGGTCCACAGAGTGGATCCCTGCCCCCACTAGTTGAGAGCCTGGGCCTGTCCTCCCCACCAGGTACCCGTGTGACCTCAGGCAGATCCTTCCTCTGCTGCTTCAGGGTTCCATCTCTAACAGTAGCTCTGTGTACTAAACTTGGTTTTGAGAATTAAAACCTATGTGTCCAGTGCTCAGGCCAGTGCCAATGCCAGATAGAGTGTGTCCAGTAGTTAACTATTAGTTTAGTGAAGCCGCCATGCTTTCTGATAATCTGTAGCCGTATCTGCCTTCTAGAGTTTGTGTGTGTTTCTCAGAGCCTTCAGACCTGTAAGTCCATTTCACCACTTTTCATTATACCCACCTTTCCCTAGACCAGCTGACAGGTTTGATCGAGACAGACCACTGAGAGGCCGTGGGGGCCCCAGAGGAGGCCTGAGGAGCAGAGGCCGAGGTGGTCCGGGGAACAGAGCTTTTGACTCCTTTGACCAAAGAGGGAAACGAGATTTTGAAAGATACAGCAGCAATGATAAAGTGTAAGTTCCTTTGCCTGTGCCGTTTCCACTTTATGTATTTGATGACCGGCTTGATATGAGTGGCTATCTCATTCTTGTGGGGCAGGATTTTATTTCTTTAAGGACTTACTGTTTTAAAGATTATCTGTATCTGTGCGTGTGCTGTGTGTGTGGGTGGGTGGGCTGTGACATGCATGAGTGCAGTGCCTACAGAGGCCAGCAGACGATGTCAGACCCTCTCTGGTGCTTACAGTTACAGACAGTTGTACGATGTCTGATGTAGGTACTGGAAATTAAACACAGTTGTAAGAACTGTGTGCACTGAGTTATCTCTGCAGACGCTGGGGCAGTGTTTTCTGATTGGGAGACTGATGAGGAGCAGGCTCCACCTCAAGTTAATATGACGGTTCTTTGTTTCTTCAGCACAAACAGAATGGAGGACAGCATGGGTGGCTGTGGTATTCGCCCCTGGGGATTGGGTAAAGACGCTAGGTAAGGTGCAAGGATGTATCCTCTGAGAGCCTGCGGTGGAGTGGAAGTCTCTGAAAAAACTATGTTCTCTGTGTCTGTTTGTCAAGTAGAGAGTGATGGGGATTGGTGTGTGTGTGTGTGTGTGTGTGTGTGTGTGTGTGTGTGTGTGTGTACACCTGGGATTGACTAAATCAGGAGAACACTTTTTAAAATAATTGTTATATTGTATTTAGACTCAAGACTGTTTCTCAAGGTCTGTTTGTTTATTTATGAGACAGAGGCTGGTGACATAGTCCTGGCTGGCCTGAAACTTATTATATAGACCAGGCTGGTGCAGAATTCATGGAGCTCCTCCTGTTCCTGTCTCCCAATCAAAAGCATACGCCACCATACCTGACCCCCAAAAGGTCTATTTTTTTTATATCTTACTTTAGCAAAATAGTACTTGACAGATGACCACATATATGTTCATATATTTTAAGCATATGGTGTGGCACACTTGCACATCTCAGAATGCATTTTATTTTTTTATATTTGAGACAGGGTCTCACTATTTGGCCCAGATTGCCATTAGTCCTTCTGCCTCAGCTTCCCAAGTACTGGGCTTATAGACATATGCACCATACCCAGCCTTTATTTCTCTGCGAGTTTCCAGAGTTCTTACAGATCTGTATTTGGTAAAATCCCTTGCAGGGTCTGTACACAGGGCTCAGTTAGAAGAGTACTTGCCTAGCATCCACAAAGCTCTGGGCTTGATCCCCAGCACTACGTAAACTGGGACGGGTGGTGCATGTCTGTAATCCCAGATCCTGAAGTTCAAGGTTATCCTCAGCAATATAATGAGTTCAAGGAAAGTCTGGTGACATGAAGCCTTGTCTCAAATTGAGTACCTGCTGCCCACATAAAGGACCTGAGTTTCAGGAGTTTTGAATTCTCTTCTAGCATCTATGTAGGCACTATGCCCACATGGTACACACACAGGCATGCAGACAAACACATGTGCACAGAAATTAACATAGGCCTTAAAAAAGTTAAGTCTTTTTTTCTTCTTACATAGTTTTTGAGGTTTATTTATGTTATGTATATTGTGCTCTATCTGCATATTCACCTGCACACCAGAAGAGGGCACCAGATCCCACTGTAGATGGATATGAGCTGGAAATTGTGGGTGCTGGGAATTGAACTCAGGTCCTCTGGAAGTGCTGCCAATGCTCTTAGCCATTGAACCATCTCTCCAGCCCCCAAAAGTTGGAACTCTTAGCATACACGGTTGATCCTAGCTGATCCCAGCACTCAGGGAGGGAGGAAGGAGTGCAGAGGCAGGTAGATTTACATGTGAATGTGAGGCTAGCTTGATCTAGCTTGATCAGTGAGTTCTGAGCTACTCAGGGCTACACAGTGAGACCTTTTCTCTGCCTCCCGAATGGGAAATAGCATTTTAAAGCAACCCTTACTACTTTTCTTTCACTGCGACGTGAATGCAGTCCCTTCAAGAAAAAGGGCCTAAATTTTGTTTCCTGGCTTTAACTAGACGAGGGCATTGGTGAGCATGACAGATTGTGTATTGGATGTTTGTGATGGATTGTGTGACTGATGCTCTTGCTGGTTTTCAGTGACACAGAGCCACCTACACCCATGGAAGAGATCTCAATGATGGAGGAGTCCCAGGGCGCCCTGGAAGAGGAGTCTCCAGCCAAGTAGGAAGCTGCTTCTTATGTCTATGGATTATCTCTTGTAATGATTCTTAGTGATTCATCCCCTTTCTTTTTCTTTTAAGATTGGACATTGTGTTTATTGAGCACGAAGTTGTGTGGGCATACGTGCGTGCATGCGTGCAGTGCTTGTATGATAGTGGAGGCCCAAGCAGAGTACCAGGTGTCTTCCTCTGTGGTTTTGTACCTTATTGCCTTGCAACAGGGTCCCTCACAGAATGAAAATTCACTATCTCAGCTAATCTGACTTGCCAGTGAATTCTGAGGATCTTCCCATCTCCACGCCACAGGGCTGGGATTTATAGGCATACATACCCAGCCAACCCTGGCTTTTCCTGTGGGTATTGGACATTTATACTCTGGTCCTCAGGCTTTCAGTGCAGGTACTCTCAAAAAAGACAGGGTCTCTGTGTAGTTCTGGCTGTCCTATAACTCTCAATGTGCAGACCAGGCTGGCCTTGTACTCAGAGAACTCCACTTGCCTCTGCCTCCCTAGTGTTGGGATTAAAGGTGCATGCTACCACATCCAGCTGGAACAAGCATTCTTAACCCACTGAGTCATCTCCCTAGCCTTCTCTCTTAATGGTTTTAGAAGCTGAGCCCTTTCTCATATCATTCTGGGTTGATCTTGTTTATTTGTTAATGCATAATGATCAAACTAGTTAATTTAAGTAATCTGATAGGCTGTTTTAAAAATTGAGAATACATTAAATTCAAGTATTGTGTTCTCTGCTCCCTTACCTCTTGTTTTTTTTTTTTTTTTTTTTTTTTTTTTTTCATGAAGACTGGGTCTCTGGTCCATACCTATCACACTGAAGCTTTAAGCCTCCTTTCCCTGTGAATGAGCCAGGGTGCTAGACACTGAACTCTTAGGGCCCCTGGCTTTGTCTCTCAAGGAAAAGCGACCTCTTGGACAACTCCTCAGTCACCCTTCTCCCTGCCAGAATCCACAGCCAAGCAAGTCACAAACTAGGGTAATTGGCCTTTGAAAGGTTTTTGTTCTTGTTTGAGTTTTTTATTTTTATTATTACTGTGTGTGTGCATGCCGAAATCAGAGAACAACTTTTATAGATTTGGTTCTCTCCTTCCTCTTTATGTGGGTTCCAGGGATCAACCCCAGTAACTAGGCTTGTATAACAAGAACCGTTACCCTCTGAGCCATCTCACCGGTGCCTCTGTAACACACTGATCGATAGTGTTCCAAGATGACCAGCCATGGCTGTCCAGCATCCCAATGTCGTGGATTCTGACAGTAGTTTTCCCATGCCAGTGCCACACCTCAGAGAAATTCGGTGCCCAGATGGGAATTTGGTGGTCTTCCCATTCTCAAAGACATGACCTGTCTGCACCTGCTCGCCCACGAGCTCTTTTCCTCATGGCGGAACACAGCCCCATCTCTTCCCCCACCTCCCACAGTTTTGATTTCCTCAAACCCTCAAAGTGTCAGTTTGTTTATTTCTCCTCCCCCAGCTCTGGCCTTCTGGACACTTTAAATGTGTGCAGTCTCATATTGAAGTCTTCACTTGACCCTGCTCTGCGTGCCAAGTTCATTTCTTCTCCTACTTGTTCTTTTAACTCCATACCCGCCTGCTTCCTGTTGTCATCACCCTCTGAATACTTCCCCCATTCTCCAGGCTTCATGGCCACTTCATTCTGGATCTGTGTTGATTTAAGCCGGCTCTGACTCACTGCTCTGGATTCCCTCTGCCTTCAGTCTTCTTTGCAACTCATTAGGGTTTTGTCTTTCTGGGGTCTTACATACCTGCTGCTTAAATTGTCACGTGTGTGTTGACACCACCAGAACAGATCTTTGGCTCCATCCTTCAGTGTGAGCTCTTGGTCTGCGTATTGTCTCCTGCATACCTTCCGCAGGATCCTCACTGCTTTGCATGTTTTGCATGACTTAACTGCTTGCCTCCCCACAGATGTCTGGCCTCACCAGGTGTCTGTCTTGTGGAACAGCATTATCTTCATCAGCTTCCCTAAATGGAAGCTCTGGAGTCTGCCGTGGAAGGAAGTCCTGTGTTCTAATCTGTCCCACCCCCAATCCAGGCCTCCACTCTGCCCCTGACTGTCACCATCTGTCACCAGCACAGCCTAAGCTGCTGTTGTCTGGTTGTTACTGCAGCTTCTGATGGCCTCTGCGTTCTCATCTGCACCATAGTGGCTCTAACACGAGAATTCTGAATGTTATGTCCTCTGGCCCCTTAAGACTTCCTCCAGTGGCTTCCTGTTCCTTCTCTGCTCTTGTGCACAGTCCCGCATGGCCTGGCCCTTGGGGACCCTCACATTTGAATATTCTTGAGCCTTACCGGGATCCATTTTGCGGCCCCTACTTCATGTTTCTGAACACATCTTATCCTCACTCTACTGGCAATCTAAGCTTGCTCCCCTGTTTGCTGACTTCTTGCTCTCCACCCAGCCTGCCACTAAGCTCTCCCTTACCCCTCAGCTGCCAGAGTAAGACTAAGCCAGTTTGATCAAGTTACTTAATCTGCCCTCACTTGTAAAATGGGGATAATCAGCTGTACAGCTACATTCATATCCACAAGTGGGAGGGGGAGGAGGGGAGAGGGAGGGAGGGGAGAGGGAGGGAGGGGAGAGGGAGGGAGGGGAGAGGGAGGGAGGGGAGACCTAGAGTGGAGCCCAGAACTTGGTTGCTATGTAAATATCTGTCAGTATCATCTTTGCTTCTTACAAGAGTGACACTGACTGACAGTTGTGACAGCTGTGGAGGTACTGCTCAAAACAACTAAGAATGTGTTTTTAAAATAGGATTCATAGTTAATGTGCCTATTTAGACAGTGTATTAGCTAAAGAAACAGACGTGCAATTTCTATGAGCTGGGAGAGCGAATTATATCGGAATCTTCAGGGAAACATCGTTTGAAGCAATAAACATTTGTGTGTGTTTGGGTGTGCTAAGGTTGAAAACCACCAAGTTTTAGCATTCTAATTAACAGAATTAAGACACTATGGCATTCCTAATATTAGACAAAATAAGATGGGCTAATACTGGAGGAGGCTGAGCAGGGCTGGCCACCACGCCTCTGTGGAGACTGCGGCTCAATGTGGACCTCTGTTGGGATCTGCAGGTTCTGCCCAGCAGAGCAGCCACATTGGCCAATGGTGAAGAGCTCTCGTTTCTTCAGCCCTAACAGACTTCAAAGTTACAGAAATCTCTCATAGCAATGTGTCATTTTTAATTTCAAAACTGCATTCCTTGATGATTGTCTACCCTCTCAGCTCTGGCTGACTGGTTTGACATTGGCACTTTCAGGATTAACCCACAGTGGACCTTCAGCTCACCTCTCAGGCTTAGAACACCTTGATGGAAGAGCTGTAAGTCCTGTACGGCAATGTTTTATTAGTGTACAACCTAAAATACATACTTATTCTTCCAATTTAGCCAGTACACTAGTATGTTACACCCTTCCTTCATGGCAGCAGCTGATGTCTGAGGGCACCTGCTCCTCTGACCTGCTTTGTATAAGTAGAATCTTACACAGAAAAGACATGTTGGCTTATTTCACTTTTCATAGTGTTTCACTTTTCATAGTTATGCTATGACCTATATTAATAGTTTTGTTTTGTTTTTTAAGATAGGGTTTCTCTGTGTGACAGCCTTAGCTGTCCTGGAACTAGCTCTGTAGACCAGGCTGGCCTCAAACTCAGAGATCCACTTGCCTTTGCCTCCCTAGTGCTAGGACCAAAGGCATGAGCCACCACACCTGATTCTAAAATTTCCAAGACCCACCAGACAGTTTCTTAAATTGACATATCACATTCTCCAAGCAATATACCCGGGCTCTAATTTTGACATCCTTCTCAATGCCTCTAACGCAACCTTTTTCCCGTTTATCCTTTTTAAAAAAAGAATTGTTTTTATGTGTATGAATGATTCACCTACATGTATGTTTCTATATGCACCACATTAAGTGCCCATGGGGTTCAGAAAGGAGCATTGGATCCCCCTGAATCATGCCAAGCTGGTTGTAAGCCACCAAATGGATGCTGAGACCCCCCCCCCAACCCAGATCTTCTGTAAGAGCTGGATGTGTGCTCAACTGATGAACCGTGTCTCCAGCCCTAACTAACTGCCGTTTTGATACTAGCTATCCTACTGGATGTGGGATGGTGTAACCCCTTGTGGTTTGACCCACCTTTCTCTATGACTAATGATTCTGGACATCTGAAAAGTTTTGTGTGTGTGTTTTGCCTGCATATGTATGTGCACCCAGTTCTTTTGGAAGTCAGAAGAGGGCACAAGATCCCCTGGAACTGGTGCTGTAGGTGCTAAGGATTTGGACTTAGGTCCTTGTGCTTGCAGACATTTAAAATTTAAACATTTGAAACGTTTAGCTAGGATGGGGATAGAACACTAACACATGTGAGCCCCTGAGCTCCACTTAGAGCATTCCAAAAAAGCCTATAATAAAAACCTCACTAAAAACTGAGTCATAGAAGAGAATAAAAAAACACAAACAATTTTCAACAGGGTTTCATTCATGAAGTTTTCAGGAAAATACGGAAATAAGCATGAAAATATATAATGAAGTCCACAAGAAAATCTATACTTACAATGTGATCAAAAACAGTTTTGGCATTAGAGAGTTAGTTTAGAGCATGGCCTTGGAGAGTCTGAAATAATATTCGTTTGCTTTTAGAACCAACTGAGGGGGGTATTTTTGTGACCCATTGTTTTAAGACTTCTGTCTGCCTGCCTTCAGGAAAGGTGGGTGATGGTGTAATTGATGGAGATGTCATGGGGTGATAACATCATTTTCACCTGTCTTCAGTTTGCAGTGAAGGATAGGGTGGTAAAGATAAAATTCAGAAGATGCGACTCCCAGGGCATAGATTACTTTTAACTTTATTTACATTTCCGATGCAGTACTTTTTTCTTTTTTCTTTCTTTCTTTCTTTCTTTTTTTTTTTTTTTAAAAGACATTTGGTCCCATTGGCCAAAAAAATTCTTTGTTATGATAATGCACCTTTACAGAGTTCCTGAGTTGGAGGTAGAAGAGGAAAATCAAGTCCATGAGATGACTTTAGATGAGTGGAAGAACCTTCAAGAACAAACCAGACCAAAGCCTGAGTTCAACATCCGGAAGCCAGAGTCCACAGTTCCTTCGAAGGCAGTGGTGATTCACAAGTCCAGATACAGAGACGATGTAAGACTGCTATCTCAGGGGATCTGTACTGTTGACCTCACTGGGCACAAAATAGACCTCTCTCGGTGGATGTGAAGACAGAACCGAAACAAAAACATTTCTTTCGTGTGGGGGTGTTCTCAGGATAAAACTGAAGTCAACAGGCTTAGTACCCACTTAGCCATCTTGCTAGCTTTCCACTTAGCATTCTTGTTTCTGCTCAAGCATCAAGGGTGATGGAAAGGAATAGAACTGGCCGTGTTGACAGTAGAATACTGCAGCCTTGAAAGAAAGCCACGAAGACACGAGTGCGCAGGGTTCTTCGAGGCCTCTTGGTCTCTTTGTGAGAGGGGCTCAGCAGCCGTTTGAAAGGTTACTGACTCAGGTTCTTTTGGATGCAGTCTTCTGTATGTAGCCAGCCTGGTCTGGCCTCAAACTCTCCATCCTCCTGCTTCAGTACCCCAAGCGCCAGGACTAGAGGTATGGACCACCGTGACCCTTGTCCTCCACTCATTCATGATGAACGTTCCATCGGGTCAGCAGATCAGTTGAAGCAATACCTGGGAACCTACATTCTGTGATGATCCCCTTGTTAGAGTATTTTAACAGCACTGTTCCCTTTAATTTCAGAAATTGCTGAGTTCCTAGATTGCTCATGCCATAGTCAGGCAGCATGCTAGTCAGGCAGCATGCTGCAACCAGCTGTGCTGAGGGCATTATCCAGGACTTGTGTGTTGTGCAGGCCTGTTTTCTGTCTAGCTCTATCTCTCTGTGTGTGCACGTGTGTGCGTGTGTATGTGTGCATGCACACTTGCACAGGTGTCTGCCACTCTGTCTCCCCAGCCCAGCGTTGAGCTTTTCTCCAGATACCTGGACAGAGATGACCATTCTTTTGTTACTGAACTTGAAGGAACACTAAAGCATCAAGTGTAGAATTAATTCCTGTTGTTCAGTGCAGATTGTGGCGATGAGCAAACTCATATTCCCCGCTGGATATGACTCGTTGACTTCCAGTCAGAAGGACGGAACACTGTAGTTTTTGTCTGTGTTTCCCTGTTAGTCAGATTCCCAGTGCTGTGATAAAGTGCCTGAGATCACCTATAATGAGAAAGGTTTTGGTTCAGCCTCAGGTTGTGGCCCAAAAATGCAAGCAGATGGCAGAAAACCATATTTGCTTGCTTCACTGTGGCCAAAAAACAGACAGGAAGGAGCTGAAGTCCTGATGATGTCCCCATCCAGGATACAGCCCAATAACCCACTTCCTTTTACCATGTCCCATGTCCTCAAGATTCCACCGCCTGCCAAGACCGCCACAGGTGGGGGCTCAGGCCTTTAGGTGGCTTCTCTGGCATCCAAATCACAGCAATGTTCATGTGCACTTTGGTCAGTTATGTTTTCTGAGTATTTTATTTAGAAGGCTGTTGATGACACATTATATCTACTCAGCCTCCTGTTTTGGTCAATTCAAGGTTAAGACACATTTACTAATAAATTTTGAGATATTCTACCAGAGATAGTTTTTGTAGACACCAGAGGCCAGAGCTAGCTAGCAGCATGTCTTTGTTATTTTCTGTTGTGAACATTAGAAATAAAGCTCCACTGTGCTGTAAGGCTGGGAAACAGGTAAAAATAGATGCCAATTCCTCAAACCATATCAGATTCATCTTCTCTGGTTGCAGAGATCTGGTTGATGCATCTAGTTTGGTTTCAGGGTAAATGCTTGTTAATCTATGCCATTGCAGAATTTGGCCAGGGACCGCTCTTAAAGCAGCAGGAGTCAAATCTTGGGGTTGCTGATTTGTTTTTGGTGCCTTAAGAAACCTTCCACCAAAGAAGTTGTAGAGTAATATGTGTCATTTGTGTGCAAAGTTCAACTCAATAATGAGCACTTAGTCAGGGTCAGCAGCTGAGCTTGAATTAATAGTAGATTCAAAGATGTTTGGATGAAGACCCAGGCTGTGTTGCTGTGGTAATGGCTATGCATGAGCCCGCCTGACCTGTGACTTGTGTTTCAGCTGGTCAAGGATGACTACGAGGATGAGTCCCATGTCTTCCGGAAAGCCGCCAATGACATCACATCCCAGCTGGAGATTAACTTTGGTAGCCTCCCTCGCCCTGGACGTGGAGCCAGAGGCAGTATCCGAGGAGGCCGAGGAAGGATCAGAAGAACAGAGAACTATAGCCCCCGAGCAGAGGTGGTGGTGAGTGGCTGCATTGCAAGTCCTGATGGGTTGCTGAAGGAGAGGGAGATTGCTCTAGGCTACAGTGGTCTGGTTTGGTGCCATTGAATGATGTCACCTTACCTAAGTCACGTAATTCCTGTAGTCCTGGCTTGAGGTGGGATCTGGCCACTAGTGGATGCTCTTCTTGACCAGCTTCTCTTTGAATAGCGAGGCACACCCCATTATGTGCCTCTCTTCTACACTGTTTCTTTTTGTTGTTTACTCTTTTTTTTTTTTGGTCTTGGTTGTTGTGTTTTTCTCTACCTGCCAATCTCAGGTACATGTCACGCAGTAAATGGTCTAATGCTGGCCACAGCTGAGTGGGGAAAAGGCAGTTAATTTAAAACCTCTCTTTTCTTTAGACCCAAGATGTCGCTCCCAACCCAGATGACCCTGAGGACTTCCCCGCCCTGGCTTGACAGCCATTCCCCTGCAGCAGAGCAGCACTATGAAGAGACTTTCCTTGCCGCGAGAAGAGTCAGACTCTAAGAACAATAGATGTTGCTTTTCCCGTGTCGTGTGAACTTGTTGCACTTTCTTGCTCTGTGGGATGTGGAATGCAGGTTCCCATGAGGTCAGGCCCTTCCCACAAACAAATGCAGACTTTTGTAAGGAATAATGTTTAAAACATGCACATAGATTCTAACAGTTCCACCACAGAGTAAACTAAGCGAGAACTGGCCATGGTGGTGCACGCCTTTAAACTCAGCACTTGGGAAGCAAAGACAGGAGGATTTCTGTGTTTGAGGCCAGCCTGGTGGCCTACGAGTGAGTCTTTGCAAAGAAAGAAAACAGAATCCCCTATTGAGATGTTGGGATGACTTAGGCAGTTGTCCTTTAGCATTTCAGGACACGTAGAACTGGAACTGTCCATTTAAAGCAGTCATACCACTTTCTACTTTTCATACCATCCCCCTGTAATGGTTCAGTTCTGCTGACAAATTTCCTGCATTGTTTTTATTCAGATTCCAACTTTAAACTGTCATTGTGTACCAGTGACAGCCACCCAGAGCAGAGAAGTATTATTGGCTTTCAGTGGTGATTCAAACTACCTCGTGGTGTGTGTGTGCACACAGTGTTCAGATTGTTAAGTATGTGATATAAAATTGTGTTATTTAACTTTTCAAATGAAAAGGCTTCTTGGTAAATGTATTTTTCTTAAAACCAGGGCTGTGGGCAGTGACAGCGCACAACCTTTAATTCCAGTCGAAGAGGCAGGTGGATCGATGTGAGTTTGAGGCCAGCCTGGTCTACAGAGAAGTTCTAGAGACAGCCAGAGATACACAGTGAAACTGTCTCTTTAAAAAAACAAAAACCACCGTAAAAACTAGTGTCAGAATTCATCACTGTTACTGTGAGCAGACTGACTTGTAACTCAACCCTACTTACCAACTGTGATCACCATGGACAGGCTTCTCCCCGTGTGTGTCCCAGTTCCTGTATTGCTCTTAACACCTCTGCTGGAGGTCAGGGGTCACCTCAGAGGTGCAGGTACCCACCCCAAACAGACTGAGAGCTAGGTAGGGCCAAGCCACTTACCCACTGGCAAAATCAGGTTAGCTTCATCGTGTGGTGAGGGGACAGCTGTGGAGATGGGAAGGGACGCTGGCCTGGTTCGTTCATGACGGAACCTTGCGCTCAAGACCTGTGCTCCCTGTACTCGGCCACATAGTCTGAGATGGTCTGAACTGGAACCCAGCTATAAATGAAGGTTGGTATTCCCTCTGAATTTTGTATGAAAACCAAACTCTTGGAGTTTGGTTGAATCGAAATTGAATCTCTAGTCATGTTGCTACAGGATGTTTGTTTTGGGTGCCCTTCCCTGCTTCTGATCCCATGTTTATTAAATGAATGAGTACAAAGGTATATTAACTGACTGCCTTATTCATTCCTTTTCCCTGGGGGCTGGCACACTGTGAGTGCTGTGATCTGACTGGAGAAACCTGCATTGATTTTAGTGGTGATCGCCACTGGGGCTGTGTGAGAGATGTCCCATGAAGTCATTCTGACAAAGCAAGGCTTTCTGTTAGGAGCATTCACAACATTCACGTGTGAGTTGTGACCGACACTGGCAAAGCTTCAGCAATGCTGCCTTGGGTCATGTGATTAAGACAGTAGGCAGCCCTGCTTGCTGTAAGCTTATTTGATGGGGCCTGTGACCTGGGTCACAGCCTGGGTGTCCCAGAGAAGAAAGAAGTCAAGAGCAGAGAAAGCCATTAGCAAGACTGACTGTGTGTGGATCCATAACCAGAACAGGACCTAAGCTCAAAGTTGCCTGCCAGATTCATCAACCAGTGCTCTGGCGGATACCTTAAAACCCAAGCATATTAACCACATACCCCCCCCCCCAAAAAAAAAAAACCTAGTCTCTTAGAAGTGGGAGGCCAGGCAGGGGTAGCCTATGTGTGTCACTTCTGAACTAAATGGTTTCAGGAATCTGAATTGAGGGCCCATGGCCCTTGGCAAAGGAATTCTGCTTGCCCTCGACGGGGCACGAGCATGAGCCACACCAACATGTCTAAATAGGAAAGCACAGCTGTATCAGCCGTTTCCTGGGTCTCTGGATGGAGGACGATGTAAGACGCTTGTGAACCACAAGCTGCTGTTGTGCTAGGGATGTCTGCTGCCAGGGCTTCAGCAGGTCTGGACACTGGGCCAGGCTGCTCTGTAAGGCAGCTGTTTGCGGGCGGGCCAGGCATACTGTGCTGACAGCGCTTAGTTCCTCATGTGGTGCAGGCAAGGCGGGAACAGCCAGACCCTGTCTCAAGGTGGGGAAACCTACCATACCCAATTGTGAACATGGGCTGTCTCCTGCAGGCTTACCATGCAGTACTGCAAGGAGAGGCAAGGTCTGCTCGTTTGTTCCCGCTGCCTGCCACCCACTTACTGTGAGGATCAACTTCCCAGGGTCCAATCTACTCACACAGTGGCCCTAGGCACAACCCAAGGAAGGGCCAAGCAGACCCCAATCACTGAAAGGTTGACTGGGCACTGTTGTAGTCACTTATGTTTATATGACATGGGAATGGTTTAAGAAAAAAGACAGGTCCACTTGAAACCTTCTTCAAATAGATGCAGAACCCTTGATGACCAAAATCTACATCAAGACACTTTTCCTCAGAGGCTGTGCTAACTCACCTCTCCCTCAAGGCACCATATCCTGGCCCAGCATAACTACTATTGAAAGCAAACAGTACTACTCAGGCCCCATGGGTAATAGGTGCCCCCACCATGCACCTTTTCTTGGGTGCCTGGACATCTTTGAAGTCTGAAGGATGGCCCGACCCTTGCCTCTGTGGCAGAAATGTGGGTTGTCTTGGAGGAGGACATCTGCCCTGTAGGCGACTGGTCACCTACAGGTAGGTAACCAGAAGAAATGAGAAGAGTATCGGTCCCTGAGCCCAGTGTTCTTTCTAGGCACGATCATTGAAAGACAAAGAGCCATGTGTACCTCACTGGGACATGGGAAGCGCCTGGCACAAACTTGAGGGTGAGCTCAGGCTTAAGGTTCTTGGGGCTCCTGCTAACTCAGCCCCATCCACTGCTGCTTGTCTCTAGAACTTTTTTTGCTCAGGACACAAGGCTTCCAGTGAATTGGCAACAGGACTGTCCCTAATTAAACAGGTGCCTACAACCCAGAGAACCACTCTGTGGGCTAGCAGGTCCATTCAATAGTGCACAGCGACAGATGCCTTCCAAGCATTCTTTGCAGAAATGCCCAGTCCCTGATGGCTGACTGTAGCTGGGGACAAAGAAGCATTTATTAAGGAGAATAGAGAGGCATTCCTGAGAGCTATCACACACTAAAGGTACCAAGGGCACCTGTGTGCTCATTTGTGATGAAGCCCAGATCTGCACTGGTGGCCCACTAAGACACTAGTTGATGTGCTCAGGAATGCAAACTGGTAATGAATGGGGCCATGGAGAGTGTTTGGGTAGGGTAAAAAGGGAAGAAATAAGAATACCAGGTGGCTTATGAGGGAAGTGAACCACAACCAATGTGCACACACTGTTTAGGATTGTCACCGAACCTTGAGGTGTTGTATGCATACATACCCCAATGGTGTCTCTCAGGCCTACTGTGCATCTGTGGAACCAGCCACACTGCTGGGGGAGTTGAAGGTCTCTTGCCTCTAGGAGGTATTCACCAAGTTCCTTAGAGGTCTCAAGCAGCACAACTCTACTGGGCTCGGAACTGAGAAGCTATCCCCGGGCTGTCAACTTGGCCCCCTTCTCACCCACCAACACACTGATACGACACCCAGTATAAATACTGGAAGAATGAGGCAGACACGTTTGCTGGGTGGCTGAGGCACTAGCCTGAGAAAACAGGCTTACATTGCACAGGGTGAGGATTCCCAGACAGGAGAGCAGCACTGTAGTCAGGAGAGACCTCCAGGGAGCTAGGACCTGCGGACCCCGAGCCATATCAAAAGCCGGTCTAGAAAGGTTACAGCCCGAGTCAGCCAGCCATCACTGGAAAAAGAGGAGATGGTTAAGCTGTTCTCAAATTTGTTCTTGCCCTCAGCCCAAGACAAGCCACTGTGTTCATGGCAAGGAATGACCAATGAGACCCTTGCAGAACTGTCACTCCAGGTGAGTAAAACCCTACAGCGGGCACCGATAGCTCTCCGTCTCATCCTGTCCTGCCTAAGGTGTTCCCTGTGTCCTCCAGCTGGACCTCTCCAGCCCCCACGGGATAACAGGCACAGATTACTATGAAGACATCTAGGGTCAGGCAGGAAGGTAGTTGACTAGACAACTACCCTGGAAGCCCACCCTGGAATCCACTGTCTCTAAGTGAGGTCTATTTCCCTTCCCATTGACCGATCTTGGGCCAGAGCAGAAAGGGCAAGGATCCCTAGAGTGCTTGGACAGCTGCTTTGATGTTTCCAACAAAAACTCTATATGCACTTAGCCATTCCGAGGGGAGGGAGGCCGAAATGCTGTAGGAGACTGGGACTGCCAAGTGGCTTGGAGCCCGGCTGGCACTGAGGTGTGGGTGGAGCTGCCAGACACCCTGCATCTAGAGTCTTACACAAGGAAGAATTGTCCTACCTGAGCACACAGCCTGTACCTCCTCCTCTGCCTTCTACCCAGAGCCTCTGTTTAGAAAAGAACACTGGAGGCAGGCAGCCCTAGAAGACCACCCGGCTCTCCAGGCCAAGGGTTCCCTTACCTGATCACTTCCGTTTGGACAGAACACTGGTCATCCTGAAGCTCATCAAAGCTATGCAGACTTGCTGACAAAGAGATGAAAATCATTTAGAAACAAGGCAAGGTTTGCAGGTGTGGTACAGGGTGGCACATAAGGCCTTCGACATACGTGAGAGCTGGGGGGTGGGGACTATAGATTGCCAAAGAGTCCTTTTTCCTCCCTGGGCAAACATGATAGACACAGAGCCATACTGTGTCAATCACCAAGAACAAAACACTTCAAATCTGGATAAAGAGATCCCTTGACCTCAGTGCTGGGGCCAATGTCCTGTTTCCCTAACCAGCTCATCCATGTCTCAACAGCTGCTAATGAGAGTTGTCATCATCCATTTGAAAAGCATTATAGCAATTATTTTCATTTTTTAAAAAACTGAACAAGGGGATGGAGAGATGGCTTAGCCATTAAAGGCTAGGCTCACAAACAAAAATATAAAATTGAATATAATGCCATGTACTTTCACCGACTGACTCAACAGCCCTAATCAATGGTGAAAAGTGGTCAGAACCAAGTTTTATGCTCAAGACAGTCTGGGATCTGGGTGAGTCTATCAAACTGCTCCTCCGTGCAGGGTATTAACAGGCTTGAAAACTGAAAGAAATTCATAAACTATGCATAGTATTCAGACTGCATGTATGTTTGCAGGCCAGAATAGGGCACCAGATTTCATTATAGACGGTTGTGAGCCACCATGTGGTTGCAGGGAATTGAACTCAGGACCTTTGGAAAAACAGCCAGTCCTCTTAAACTCTGAGCCATCTCTACAGCCCCTGAATGAGTTTCTCCGTGAAGCTTTAGAGCCTGTTCTAGCACTGGCTCTGCAGACCAGGCTGGCCTCTACCTCTAAGTACTGGGATTAAAGGTGTGCACCACCACCATCTGGCCCTTGGCTTTGTTTCTTTGAAAGGAAATGTTTATGTGTATGTTATGTGTATGTGAATGAACAACCTGTGGAGGGCTGAGTCTTTCCTTTTACCTTTATGTGAGTCTAGCATAGATCTTGGGTCACCGAGCCTGTATGATAAATGCTTTTTACCTATTGAGCTATCTTGATTAGCCACTTTGCCTAGCTTTCCACTCACATCCCTTCTACAGCTTTGAACAAGCCATACCCAGAGACTTTACCTGCATTGGGTGTATTTCCATCTTCAGGCAAAGATAATGTGAGCTAATCACACCATTCAGGTACATGGGACTACATACCAAAAATACCAGAAAGGTGGGTGGGTTGGCATAATCTATTAAAACAAATCAGTGTTTACCTTATATTCACCTTTGCTAAAAGGTACAAAATAATCTACACAAATCTGTGTTCCATTGTGTCTGAAACACTTTGCATGAATTGTTTCTTTTCATCCTTCTAAGGGGAGAACTTTTTTTTTTTTTTTTTAAATCATCCCCATTTCACTTAGGAAACAAGCAGAAGTATAGATAACATCACAGTGTGGCTCAGGTTGAGTCTTACTCCAGGCCATTAATCTTTGAGCTGTCCAAGCTGGCAGAGAGGTGCATGTGGAGTGATTTCACAGCAAGCACCCCTCACTTATCTTCCATGTACCCAAAGCCTTAACCCTTCTGTACCTTACAATTGGCTACATCTAGAGGTGTATACGGAGGAGAAGATAAGCCGCTACAGCGGCCCTAATGCATTCTCACTGGTAACCTTGTAAGACACGCCAGGAATGGGCAGGTACAGAACAAGGCTGTGTGAGAAGAGCCCAGTAAGGGGATCAGCCAAGAACAGCAACTGCAAGAGAAACCCACCCTGCTGACATCTTGGTCTTGAGCTTTGCACTTCTGGCACTAAGGGAATATATGTTTTCTTTCCTTGTCCCACCCAGTCTGTAGTATTTTGTTATGTCCCTTGCAAGCAAAGAATTAGATCCATTTTATATTTCAATTACTATCTACTGGACACGCTCAGGAAGTGAATGCAATAAGCCAAAAACTGTTTGATGTTTTTAATTATTTGATTGTAAATTATACAATTTCTACTATTTAGCATTTTGTATAAAACCATTTTACAATACACAAGATTTTCAAATGCAACAAGAATATCAAAAACTACATGTATGTGCCAAGTTTACAGGCTATGGTGAAGCTTTATCTTAAAAATAACCTTCAGGAGAATAAACATCCAACCAGTTCTCTTAGCTTTAAAAAATATGATTAGAAATATACAATTTAATAAAATATCAAGACAATGATTGATCAAATACTGATTACACTTTAAAACTTCACTTAATCATCTGTACACGAGTCTTCAAACAAGTGGTATAAAGCCACAGTACTTTAATCTGATCGACAGTCTATCATCTATCCACAGTGAGTTCTACTGGATCACTAAGGGGGCAGTTTCTTCTACAGTACAGGCAAGTCTTTTTTAACACATCTGTAGTATTTCCACTCAGTGACAAGGGGAACATTCAGATTTAAGGAGAAATCCAAGAGCAGTGGCTAACCTCACCAGGACATTTCAGCGGGAGAGGAATCGTAAAGAAAATAGGGTTTAAGGATTCTGATCAACTGCTTTCTAAAATGTGGGAAGAACTTTCAGAAAATATATGTATGAAGCAGCTGTTACTTCTAGAACACACACCAAATGGAGAAATACTTGTCACAGACAGTGATCCAAGCTAACGGAGGACTAAGGAATTCTAGGCACAAGTTACCCAGAAACCTGGAAAGGTCTGCTAGACCTGCAAATGCTCAACGAGCCTCATGAGAACACTTGGGAAGCCTCTATGACCAAGACAAGAGGTAGAAGCCACCTGTGGGGAGAGGTGGTAGGGTGTGGGGCAGGACAACGGACAGGGCTAGATTTGGGGGATCGAGTTAAAGCTAGGAAGTTCTGAGGAAGAGAAGCGTATGGCAATGTTAGATAAATGCTGCTACCATTGAAGGTGGCGCCGCTCAGGGCCCATCCTTGCCTCGAGGTAACAAGAGTTCTAGCTGGACCTCAGAATTGTATTAATCTGTCCGCAAGTCCTAGAAGGCCCACTTTGCAAACATTCTTCTCTTCAAAGGCAGCTGTACATATACTTTCTAATTTTAATTCTGCTGGAAGAGGACTTGATGTACTTTCAAAGCTATTTAAAGTTCTTAGGTTAGAGGCCCCTCCATCCAACATCTACTGGTTCATGCTTTGTAGCAACAGGGCCTTCTATCCCAGAAGGTCCTAGGTACTTGTAGTTGGGGAGGGACTGACCACTAATTCACAGCAGAAAGGGTTTACCATTAGTCAGACCCAGACTTCCTGGATCCTAGATGTCAACAGTCAGTACTGGTGACTGTCCATCCCCAGAGCTATCACCTCAGCATCTAGAATAGGTTTTCCTGGGAATGTGTCCTCACCAACTCATGTTTCCTTCAAGCATGAGAGTTTTTAAAAAGCACTGTGGTTACACTGAAGCCCAAGTGGGTTATTCCCAAATCCCCAGGAGCCGTGGTGGGCAGGCCCTGTGCACCCATCCTGATACACTGAGGACAAATTCTGCTGGGTGCAGATGAAGTGAGGTTTCCGGAACACCAGATCTCACTTATTCAGGGGAGGAAGACCCACCCTGGGAAGTTGCTATTTTAGACTCAGGTGTAATTTGATTGAGCAATATCAGTAACTGAAATATTTGTCCTCTTACCTAGCTCTTACCTGCCTTTCTTCAGTGTCTGAAAGCTGACTGGGGAGGGGCTCTTTGTGTGGTTTCTACATTGACATCCCCAGGGCCCCAACCCAATGTCAGCCAATGTCACAGTTTGAGGACAGAAACAGGGGACCGACTGTCTCTCTCTCTCTCTCTCTCTTTTTTCATTTACCGGACTTTAACCTATTCATTCCAACTACAAGGAAGGCAGCTTTTCAAGTAGGATTGCCTGCTCGCCTGACACATTCATCTGTCTTAGGAAGGCATTGGCTCTCAATGGCTTTCAATATTGCATTTCTCCAGTCTCCAAACTGGGAAAAGAGAAAAACCATTATCCTCTATTGTGGAACTAACCAAGACAACTGTAAATTACTGTCTAATTATTGGCTCTATCTTTTTCTTTTTTTTGGCAGCAGCAGATAAATTCTGGTTTTGCAATTGCTTCATGGCACAGGTGCTGCTGGCTCCCAGCAAGGGTTAAGAGAGAAGGCACACTACAGTTTCTAGTCATATTCCCTAGCCAAAGGCAACAGTGAGTTCTCTTACACAAACAACCTAACTCCAAAAGCAAGTGATTGTCGCTAAAATCAAACTGTGAATCACACAAGAAAAGAAACTCCGCAGCATTACTGAGACTTTACAAAGTGTTAACAATTTTGCTTTTAAAGCCACCATTATTCAGGACGCTTTCCCAAAGACAAACATCAGCACTGCTGTTTGGTTTTAATGTACTGGAGGAAACACAATTCTAACATTGACTGAGCGACCCAACATCTGAGCCCGGAAATCTTCATCCTAAATGACGCAGGGAAGGACTTACATAACCTTTCAACGAGAAAAGGTCCGATTCTATCAACATTCATTAGCAGGTTTTAGTAACCACAAGAACACGTAACAGTGTTTTCACAGTTGTTATTAAAGCACTCTTTGGTGAAAGACAAGCAGCTTGGGTACTTCACACAGTGAACATCCCAACGGTATTAATAAGAGTAAAGTGAAAATGATTGTACCAGATCCTGTCTTAAGACGGAGGGTACCGCTGGAGGGATGTTCATCTCCTTTCATCTTTATAAATTGCAAGACGGGGTTATAGGCTGAACAAAAAATAAATACCCGAGACCTCCATCAGATCCTCCACTCTTCTGAAGGCCAGCAGTGAACATGATTGCCATCACAGGAACGCACATGTACCACACTCACCAGACAACTCTCTGGTGGCAGAAGGCCAGGTACTGACACCTGAGACTAAACAGCAGCTTTTATCCAACTTGAGATTAAAAAAAAAAGGGAGAGTTGGGCCCTCAAATGGTTCAACCACATCCCAAAGTCAGCGAGTGGCTGAGAGGCCAATAACGTTTTCTTCACTGAATGAACTTCTTATGTGGAAAGAGACTAAGGCCTCTGCAGTGTCTGTTATGTTCTCAGATCAATTGGCTAAATCCTTTTGGGGCTTTCTGTTCCTAATCTTCCCTGGAGAGCTGGTCACCGGCTTATTTACTTTAACGCAGGACTGTCTTAGTCCTTGAAACGGCTGGACTGAGGAGAAAAACAGAAAAAGATTTACTATGGAGATTTTAAAGTATCCCAGAGGGAGTTTTCAAAAACAAGGAAGGCAACATAGTGAGCGCTGACATGCGAAGGCGCGCATAGTGGGTGTAGTTATCTGACACTCTTTGAAAGAGACAGGACAACATCAGCCATAAGAACAAACATGAGAGGAAGGCAAAGGGAAGTTTAAATTTTGTTAAAAAAAAAAAAGAAAGAAAAGAAAAAAGAAAGCAACAGAAACAAACAAACACGAGCAGGCTCAGGTGCGGGCAGCAGAGCAAGGCAAGGTACCATAACGCCAGCACGGGCATTTGATGCAAAGCACTCCTCCTCCTCCTTTCCCTCCAAGGAGCCAGGCTGTGGGGAGAGGGAAGAAGGAAAAGACAAAGAGGGTTACTGCGTGGCGTCAAGGCCAGAATTTGGTCACAGAAAAAGCTCCAGCGCCACAAGCAGTTTCTAGTTTCAGCAGCCCCACCTTCTCAGGGTGCTTGCCTGTCTTGACTGTAAGAAGATTTGGGCAGGGACAGCCAAGGGCCTCTCTGGGCTCACCAGAAATCAACCTGACTCACCCTTCCTCTCTTCCTCCCACAAAGGGCTGTCATGCTTTAAACCCATCAGCAACTTTCATAGAGAGTGAAAAAGAAAAGACAAACCCATTCTCAAAACAGCCTCTGATCTGGTGGTGAGCCTCACTTGGCTAACGAAGACTCTCCTGAATTGGGCGTGTAGCTTTTACAGACACCAGCAGAGAACAGAGCACAAAGGCAACTGGAAGGTCTAATCATATGGAAATATATCTGGAATTCCACTTTAAAGTTCAGAGGGAACCAGCATTTAACAGAGAGAAAACATCCTGGGACTCTAGGAGGTAATGACGGATGAAACATGAAATCCTGGAAGCACTGGAACAGGAACCAGGAGACGAGAGACCCTGAGAGGTGTGATGCAAAGACAGGAAAGATGGCCATGAATTCCACAGCAAGGACGTAAAAAGTCCAAGAAGTACAAATAGGCACTCCCAGGCGAGACGGTCACAGACACACGTTTTTATGGTTTGGGTAAGTAAGAAGGACCCCAAACACCACTCACTGTAACAGGACAACTAGGTACAAATTACGCTGGGCCATAGGCAATAGGGTGATTTGGGGGGCAGGAAAAAAGTGATGGTTCTCAAAGATACAACATTGCGGGTCACTTGGACATGACGGATTTTAAGAAAATAGGATGAAATAACTGAAAAAGACTGTTCAAAAGAAACTTTAGAAGCTTCCAGAAACATGCAGCCATGAAGTAAATGAAGGTGAAGGGTCCCAAATGAGACATCTGCCAAGCCCTTCACTTGGAGGTATGATGATGTAAAACTGATTCTGAGAGAGCACTTCAGACTTAGTGTGGAAACACTGAATAAAGTCAATTAATTTAGTCAGTTATGAGCTGTTACAATGGACTTTTTGCCCTGATAGGAAGTGGAAGGTGACAAACTTCCTTCTGAGCCCGACAAACCAGAAGGAGCCAAACAGAGCATTGTCAGTTCAGGAGCCAAACCTCTTCATCCCGCACAGGGTGTGAGCTCGACACCGTCTGGACATGGTGGCTTCTGGCCAAATGGACAAGAGACAGTGGACTTTTCCTTCCAACAACAAACACCTCTATCCTAACACGCCCACCTTCTCAGCCTGTTCTTTTAGGATTTGTTGGGAGAAAGTCTATGAAGTTGGAAGTGTCTCTTGGCAAAATGTCAAAACTCAAAAGTCAACTCGGTGCCATGTGAGGTCGGGAAGAATCTCTATCCAGGAAACCTCAGGGAAAAAAAAAAAAAAAAAAAAAAAAAAAAAAAAAAAAGGCAAGGTTCTAATGGGTCACCATGATGAGAGATGAGCGAATGCATGCACCTGTGACTGAGAAAGCCTCTCACTCCTACAAGAGCCAGACCTGGTGCACCTGCACCGGAGGGTAGACGGACACTGACAATTTTGAATGTGATTCTTTTTTTTTGGGGGGGGGCACTATTATTTAAAAGAGAAGAGGATTACCCAACCACTTCAGCTGAGACTATTTTTCCTGGGTTAGATTATATCCCAGTGTTAATTCCTTAATAGCCTCCAATCAGACGCTGAACTTTAATTCAGCAGAAACAAGAGGCTGAAGGCTGGAAGTCTCTGAGTCTCCTCATTTCCTAGAAGTAGTGGAATGCCACACGGTTGTGTGTGCCTTTCTTTTGTAAGCTAGAGCTGATAGAGTTAAGGTAATATGAATGTAAGCCACAGCAATCCCAATCCCGATTCTTTTTGTTTGGTTTCAAAGACCACCCCAAATTCCGAAAGTTCACTTAGCCCAACTTATTTAGGCTGAAAACTGCTTAATGCTTGATATCAAAGTCCAGGCCCTTGGGAGCCGCTTTCTAAAAATCAGTAACCTTCTCCCAAGAGGGAGGGAGGGAGGAAGGGGGAGAGAGAGAGAGAGAGAGAGAGAGAGAGAGAGAGAGAGAGAGAGAGAGAGAGAGAGAGAGAGAGAGAGAGAGAGAGAGAGAGAGGTGGGGGGAGTTACAGCAGGAAGGACAAGTGAAGTCAAAAAACAGACAGACTGGTCCACAGCCAACCCTCTTCTGTGGATTGTGGCATGGTGTGATTCAAAGCTCGGCTAGAACTCTGCTTCTCAGAATTAAATGAGCAAGTTTTGTTAGACTGACTTAGACCTGAAGGAGGTATTGACGATTATGCCAACATCAGATGATGCCTTCTGGCCAGTTGTTGTTTTGTTTTAGGTTAAGGCCTCATGATAGAACGCTGGCCTGGACCTTACTATGAAGAACATTCCCATTTCCTCAACTTAATGGAAAAGTTGGAATCTAAGACATGAACTGTCCTACCAACCAGAATTGAGAAGTATAGGAGTTCCCTGTACTTCATGTGCACGCAATATAGACATTTGCATACTGCAATTATATGACAACACATTTTTCTATATATGGCATACGTATATGTACAATTGGGAGTTATACTCTTATTTATTCTTCTTACTTTTCTTCATAAGCATTTATAAGTTACTAAATTTTCCTCTATGACATGACTCAGGTTGGGGATTTATCTCACTAGTGAAGCACTTGCCTAGCCCATATGTTGGGGAGGCATGTCAATGATTTAGAGTACTTGCTTCCCTTCTACAGGACCTAACCTTGTGTTTGGTCCCAGCAACCTCGTCAGGCAGCTGATAGCTGCCTGTACTCCAGCTCCAGGGAGTCTAATTAATGTTCCCTGGCATCAACACTCCACACACATAAAATCCCTAACTTCGAGTCAGTGCCTGCCTGGCAATTCTCAAGAACCCATGTTGGTTCTTCACCCTGTTCTCAGAAGACAATAGCTCCATAGTAAATTTTATAAGAGGAAAAACAACAAAACACAAAGGCATTAGAACCCCGAGTGATGATGGACCTCGCCAGGGATGACACTAAGTAATGACGGCGAAAGCCTCCGAGAAAAGGATAGGGGAGCGGTAAACAGGCAAGGAGGATGTAGAACCTGGCCCCAATTAACCCCCGAACTGCCCATTTTAAAGTGAAACATCACCATGCCAGGCGATGACAATTGAGAGCCTCCTGCTTTCAATGGCCAGGAAACAGCAACGACGTGGTCTGTTCTTCCCTCATCAGGGGCTGGGCTTCAGAATATCTTAAGAAAGTACATGTTTGCCTTTGGTTTATGACAGACAGAGCCTATCGTAAATGAAAGATGTTGACAACTGAAGACAGAAAAGAAGCAGCAGAAAAAAATCAGGTCATGGACAGGACTGTGGTCAGAGAACGGCCATCAGGACTAGAGTCTCACTCAAGTTCTGCCATGGCTCACTGAGCTTTACCTGACAGACACGAAGTGGCTTCCTCCCGATGGAGCACTGTGGAAAAGTCCTAGGGCAACACCCTCAGTTTCCCTGTATCAACTTTCCCATCTCAAGCTAGAGACCATACTTCCAACACGAGGGAACTTCCTGTGGACAGCTAGGAACACACACGCCTCCATTCTCATCACGGAGCCTCCACATTCCTAGCTTCCTGTCAGTCCCAGAAGCAGGGTCAAAAGAGTAAACTGGAAACAAACAGGACTTCCAGAAAAGAACTCTTTTCTCACCTTTTAAGACTGCTTTTCCCCGAAGCAGATCTTGTGGTTCGTTTAGTAAGGCCTGCACTGCCAGAAAGGTTAGGGTCAGGGGCTTTACAGCTCTGAACACTGGACTGAAGAATTACTCTGAAAACAGTTGGAAAAAGTTAAGATTATATTCACTAACACAACTTCTAAATAGTTGACAGAGGAAGGCAATTTTGCACTTTGGTGTAATTGTTTTGCAAATTGAAGAATTTTCCACAATCCCATTTGCCACTTACAAGCACATTTTTATACCAAGCACCTCATTTTTCTTTGAAGGTTATTTGGATGGAGGTGACCAGGGTATTTTGCTTTTGGGAAATGAATGACCTGGCATTTTATGAAATACACAAACCAATTTATTACTCAAACCTGTCAAAGTGGACTCTCAGATTTCATTCACAAAGTAATGTCATAAATCCCATATTTTAAAGTGTTTGACTATAAACTTAGCAAATCAGCTATATAATATTCACTGGTCAAAGCAGCAAAGTAATTTTATATGCCAATGAAAATTTTAAAAATTTCAGTTTTGTCTGCATCATAAATATTTACTAAATCTTTAACTATTCACTTAAATGCTATGATACTTGTATTAACTAAAACCTAAAAGCCTTCCCATAACAGAAGACTGCCCAGGAGGAAAAGCGTAGTTAGAGAGGACAGGCCACAGAGCACGATCTCCGTAAGTAATTAATTCTCATTAAACTGTCAGACGAAAAATGGCAGAAAACCTAAAAAGATGTTGGCAGGCAAGTCTTTGCTTCAGACCCACAAACATTCATTTATTTCCATCAATGTTTGCTGGAGGAGGGAGAAAAGGTAAGTTATTTCAACTAAGGAGGAGCCTGCTTCACGGGCCTGTCATGACCAGGGTGACTGACAACATCCAACATTCTGAAGTTCTGACAATGGTAGATTTCCCAAGCAAAGGCAGCCAAACACTTCACAGCTGTTAGAGCATAATTGTTCTGACTGAATCTGCCCATGTCCAAAACTGATCTCAAATACTTGTAAGTAGAAACACACAAAGATGATCCAACTGCCCTAAGACATGAACCCAGCTCCCCAAGACAGGATTTTTTTAAGAAATGACTTTAGCATGCATATAATAATCATGCATATTTACTGGGCACGAGGATTCACATGCACATATAATGTGTAACAAAAGATGGAGTAGCTGGCTGGGGCAGCCAGGGTTCCTTTATCATCCCTAGTGCTGGGAACTCTCCTTTAAAAAGTCCTTTTAGTTGTCAATCACAGTTACCCTATAATGGGCCATACAAAATATTAACATTACTTCTCCCGTCCAACTGCCCACATTTCCTTCTGCTGATATAAATCTAGGAAGAAATATATTTATTTATCTCACTTAAGGATATGAACCTAGACTTTAGCATAAAGGTACCAAATCCATCTGATTTTTTCAAGTTTCTGGGCAGTGTGTACATCAGATTTTCCTCTGCAGCTTCTTGACAAAGGAGAAAAATGAGACTGGGTTTTTCTGAAATGTCACTCCTCCATTTCAGGTCATCTGAGGTAAAACATGGGTAGCCACCATACTATAAGGTCATTAGCACAAAACAAAACAAAAAAACAACAAGAAACCAGTAACTGCTCAGGAAATCTGCTCCAGGTTCCTTAAATTTAAGGTCCACACAAAACAAAGAACTACAACTCGTTCAACGTGTTGGGTTGACTGAAGATGCATCTTTAGAGCATTAATTTTTTCTATAAAATAATAGTGTAAATGAATACAAAATAATGGTATTAGTGCTTACTAATTTCTGTGGAGCTTTGAAACTCAGAAGGAAATTTAGTATACATTAATCACATCAGGGAAGCCTCAGGTTATCTGACTTGAGTGGGGAGTTAGTACATCAATAAAGTGGGACAGCTCTAAGACTACACTTCCATGTTACCAGCTAAACTGACTTAACAGGGCGAAGAAGCCAAACTCAAGTATTTCCCTCTGCCCCCATGCAATACACATTTTTCTCCTTCCTATCTTCCCCAGTGAAATCTGCATTGGTCTTCCTTACCCTGTGCCCAAACCATAGATTGCTGCCTTCTCTGTGGTGTCTCTGGAGCCCTAGCAGCTCCAGATTTTGAGCAGTAAAAATGTGAGACAAGCAGCCAAGTTAACAAAAAACCTAAGGGACCCAGTGTGTCCTGCTGAGCTTCCAAATGTCTGTCTGGATGGCTTTTTCTTTTTGGTTTTGAGACGGGGTTTTCTGTATTGCTTTGGAGACTGTCTTGGAACTAGCTCTGTAAACTAGGCTGGTCTCCAACTCACAGAAATTGACCTGCCTCTGCCTCCCCAGTGCTGGGATTAAAGATGAATGCCACCAACGCCCGGCCCTGGATGGCTTTTCTCTAGCGGCACCGTCCCCCACGCAAGCACTAGACATAAGAACATTGAATGCTTGCTGGCCTTAGGCTCCATCCATCAGCTAATGGATTCTTAACTGCTGCTAGGCAAGGCTCTCTCACCAGCTCACAGCAGGGCCAATCACAGTGGAGCAGTGAGCTGTCACTCACAAGTTAGGCCTCTTAGGAAGAAAGTGACCAGAAACTAGTGGCTACCAGGATCACACTTGTTATTTGCCTCAGGTACAGAAAAATTTTTTGCAGGCCCTTCTTAGGAATGCCCTTCTTGTCTTGAACTGTGGAGTAATGCCAGCTACAGGTGACCAACCTAATTCTTGCAGAGGACACTAAGGAAGAAATCCCCAGCAGAAGCAACATTTAAACCTGACACCTGAGCCTGAGGACAAATAATATCAGCAGCAACTCCACCCATTCAGAATATCTTGGCTCACTGGAATAGTCTGAGGAAAATGAACTATAAAGGGCATCACTGCTATTCAGTCAATAGATGGAAAAGGCCAAAACAAACAAATTCTACAGAAACCCGAGTGTAAATGTGAGACTACAAACTCACCTAAGATATTCGAGGAAATGCCATAAATTAAAATGTGTTCACTAGATTTTCTCTCTTAAAGAGTGGACTCTGACTCTGACTAATTTATCTCAGTCATATGAAAACACTCTAAAGGAGCAGAGAGTCCAAGAATGACAAGAAAAGCCATTTTTGAAACAAACAGAAGAAAGGTGATGGAAATCAAACAGATACGGAATGTTGTTTTAGGACATACTCTCCCTATGTGGCCCTTAACTGTGATGCTCCGCATGGGCGTTTCATGCCACATTTTTGTGGAAAAGAGATGACAGATCTCAAGAGAATACAAGCATGTGTACATAATCTAGTAAAGACAGCCTAGCTACTTTTGGGAAAGGAAGAAAGCAGAATCCAGAGAGTATACTGAGCACACAAGAGACAGCCAGCTCCCTGCCTGCTATCCTCACTTAACACAGACGAAGATGTGACAGGTGTTCCACGGGCAGAAATCAGGCTACAGTCCTCACTATCCCTCAGTGCAGCAAAACCCAATCTTTGCTAAAAGAAGAAACGGCGAGAGAAACCCCTTCTGCCGGAAGAGACCATCAAGGTACAGAACATGAGAGGTGTGCACAGCCCCGGTAGAAAGGAGACCAGAGTAATTAGCTCAACCACCTAAACATTTCTGACAGGGAAGAAAACTGCTCTAATGCCCATTATTTATAAATAACTAGTAAAACCTTCCCCCCCCCAAAAAAAAAAGTGCTATTTTTAACATCCTTGGCTGAAAAGATTCATCGAGGACCTCCCTGGCTCCTACCATCACGTTCACTGAAAAGATTCAGAAAGAGGACCCTGGAAAATAAGCAAACCAAAACAGCCAGGAGAGCCAGAAGGAAAAACACATGCACCTTGAGAAGAACCACACTGGACACAACGGGGGAGAGAGGAAATGGAACAGGAAACTTACACAGCAAACTATCTGCAAAGGGTCCAGATGGCTACTGTGTTCTGAAGCCATCAAGACAGAACAGCAGGGTGGGAAGAATGTAGTCACACACAATCCACCAGATGGCAACACTACACAGTGCAGAGGTCAGCACAGCTAGGGGACATCTGGAAAGGGCGGAAGGGGAAAGAACATGTGTTCACATAGGGAAGACAAAATAAGTCATGTAATATAATAATCATAGAGCCACCTGTGGCTTTAAGATAATCTAAAAGTCCCAGGGCAGCAACTGTGATGGCAAAGGGGCGGGAAACAAGGGTTGTGGTGGTGGTCCAATTTCTGTTGAGACAAAAACGCTGACTTTAGTTTAACACAAAGGAACACATGGTTACACATCTATAGCTGGCCATAGTCAAATATATAGTATGTTCATACAATGCACTATACCTGAGCACAGGGAGAAAAGGAGGCAGAAACAACCCACAGCCTGTCTGACAAAGGAGGCATGACTATGAGATGGGAACAAAGTTCCTCCCTCAGTTGGGAGTTGAGAGGAACAGTGTGGATCACAGAAGCACACCTGACCAGAAGCCATCAACTTTACCACTGTGGAAACACTATGTATGGTTCCTTATTTTCTTTATACTACCTGAGGTGACTTGAAAGGGATGGCCTCACAGACTTAGTTGTTTAAACACTCGTCCCTGGTTGGTTGAGGAGGATAAGTGTAGAAGGTGTGGCCTTGGTGGGGACATATGTCATTCCCAGGTGGATCTCTTTGCTTCCTGCCTACAGCTCAAAATCTGAGTTTTCATTTCCTGCTCCAGCTGCCAGGGCTTGCTATTTGCTTGCTGTGATGCTAATGGACGCCCAACACGCAGGAACAGTTAAGCCCAAATAAACATTTTCCCTACACATTGCCTCTGGTATGGTGTTACACTCAAAATTGGGTATTTATTATCCCTTCTCTTCTCCTTAAGACGATGTCTCCTATTGCCCAGGCTGGTCTTTACCTTACTATGTAGTTGAGGATGACCTTGAATTTCTGATCTTCCTGTCACCGTCTTCCAAGTGCTTATGTGCTAGGATTGCAAGTGTGTAACACATACCCAGTTTTAGCTTGTGTGTGTAGAAGACAGAGACCAATGCCAGGGTCTTCCTCAACTATTTTCCACCTTATTTTCATTTACAGTCACTGACTACAATGTCATCTTAGTCGGGAGTGAAATGCAAATCGAGTATGCATATTTTATTTGTTCCTCTGGTAAAACTCAAAGCCTAAGAGTTAATTTTTCTTTGTTGAAATGTTCACTTGTCTATTATGACCATGTAGGATACAACTACCACCTTACCCTCCATACATTCTTTACTGCAAATCTAAAATACATAGTTAGTGGCACATGGAGTGATGTGATGGGCAGTCAGATGGTCAACACTGTCAACTTGACAAAATACAAAATACAAGCCACATCTGTGAGGGGTTATCTAGGATTAGACTGAGATGGGAAACCCATGTTGAATCACACCATTGGGGGGGGGGGGGATAGTGGATATAAATGGGTTGAGCACACATGCATCAGATCAGTTGTGACCAGCTGCCCCCTTGGTCTCCTGCTGCCATGACTTACTTACCTACATGATGAATTACACCCCCCCCCCCCCCCCCGCCATGGTATTTCAACCACAGCACAGGAAAAGCAACTAACACAAGCAGAAACAGTTACTAACAAGCCAACAAGTCAATTTCAGCATGGAAAATACACTTGCCAACCAGTCCTAAAGGTCAGATGGTGCAGAACGCTATGGCACTAATTAAGTTACCAACCTCACGCAAGTCAGATTGGGGCAGGCTCTCATTACCACTTCTAATAAAACAAACTTTTCTCCAACACAGGCATTTCCTAAAGAGAAACCATTCACCAGGAGGGACGTTTCATACCTCACTGTACCGTCCTCAGGACATTTCTCATTTGGTCGTTTCTTTGAATATTTTCTTGTGTCCAAGTACCAATACGGAGGTGAATAATTTACCAATGCCTGAGTCAAGTGGGAAGGTAGGAACTGAAGGATGTGGATTTACCACACTCCCCACAAAAGACCCCAGAGTTCCCTAATCTCTAAATGGCAGATTAGGAGAACAGGAGGCAATTTGAGGGCTGTCATATTAAAATCCCAGTTTCACTGACAGCTTCAGCACCACAATCCCACGGTGGGGGAGGGTGACATTAAAGAAAGCCGTCCTTTCTTTTCTAGCCTAGCTGCCTCCTCTCCCTCATTCTCCTTTCTTCCTCTCTGCCCCCCCCCCCCCCCCAGCTGCTGTCATTACTGAACACTAGACTTCTGGAAGCCAGGCAGCCTCGTAGTCTCCTGAGTGGTGGAACATCTGGAATCATCTGCCAGTTCCAAGGTTCTGTACAATTTAGTCTTCATGTTATGAACTGCATAATCTCAGCTTCCCTAATAATAACTTAAGCTCCAGAAAACATATTTCTGAATAGAGTGGGAAAGGTAAAATTCCTGAGAGTTCTATTTAACAAGAACTTTAAAAATAATTTTTTTCCAAAGAAATAAATTTTTTTCGTGTGTGTGTGTGTGTGTGTGTGTGTGTGTGTGTGTGTGTGTGTACAGGTGCCTGCACACCTGCAGGGAGCAGAGATTCCCTGGAGTGGGAGTTTACAGGTGTTTGCATGCTACTTGATTAGAATGCTGGGAGTCAAACTTGGGGCCTCTAAGAGCAGCAAGCACTCTCACAACTGAGCCGATAACAAGAACTTTTCACCAAGCAGAATTTGTATCCCCTAATCCTGGCCTAGCTTCTGAATGTGGAATAAAACAACCTATTAAAAAATAAACTGAGCCGGGCAGTGGTGGCGCATGCTTTTAATCCCAACCAGCACTTGGAAGGCAGAGTCAGGTGGATCTCCATGAGTTCGAGGCCAGCCTGGCCTACAGATCCAGTGCCAGGAGAGGCTCCAAAGCTACACAGAGAAACCCTGTCTAGAAAAACAAAAACAAAACAAAATACCAAAACAACAAGTAAGAAAGAAAGAAAGAAAGAAAGAAAGAAAGAAAGAAAGAAAGAAGGGAGGGAGAGTGGATAGAACCCCACCAGTAGCAAGGGGAAGGCAAAGAGGCTTGTTAGAAAATAAGACTCAGATCCCAACCCAGAAGTTCTAACCAGAAGCTACATTATGAGGTAAGCTCCCACATGACTCAAAAGATCAGTTATGTCTGTGTTGGGCTGCCTGGAGGCATGGACTTCCTTCATCCATTGGACCTAGAATTAGTTCAGGATGATTATTTTGTGAATAAGATAACTAGAAACGCCTCATAGGAAAAACCTTAATGAAATTAAAAACAAATGGCAACTGAAGTTTATGTACCCCATATACTATATATCTATTTACAGAGACATATATACATATATATACATATATATATTCACTAATTTATATAAATTATATAAAAGGCACCATTTGTAAAGAGGAGATTGCTTAATAGAAACCTAAAGTCAGAATTGGCATTGTAAATTCACACAGGACTTATGTTGAAAACCCTGACACTTTGCTTTTGACTGAAAAAACCAAAGATCAGTAACTCCTCACGGCATCTCCAGATACTTAGGAGACTGAACTCCATCAGCTTTCCTCACAGAAGGGCTGTATATGGGGTCAACAGTGAAAGGGAAGCTCTGAGAAGGACAGGAGCCTGGGTGGGGACTCTTACTGAAGAGAAGCCTCGAGAAAGGAACAGTGGCTGCATAGTTTGAGTCCCCATATTTGTACACCAATCATAGATGTTCCCTGTAGCTGGATCAAATTAACACAAGTGTTTAAGAAGTTCATGTGGGGCTGAAAACTCCCACTACCTACCGAACCTTTTATTTTGAGAAACCATCGTCTACAATTTAAAACAATTCTCCAGATAAAAATAATTATAAAATAGTAATTTGGAGATGAGTTTATCATTACCCTGAGAAGATACAATGGTTTTAAGACATCACATGGCAACTGTGTGCAGACTGACATGTAACCATCTTAATAACTATGGCCAATTCTATTATCTGGGTTTTGACATCTGCAGTTAACTTTCTTGAGGTGTCACAGCAGACCATCTATGGGACAAAAGTTTTCCTAATATTGGTTTCTTAGCTATCATGGCTCCTGAGGTTAAAGCAGAACACAGAGATAAATGAATGTCTGAGCACCTCCCAGGTGAGCACCTCTAGATTTTAAATCACACATGAGGCCACTGCTAATAGGTGTGTAGCTAGGGAGAGAAGTATGCCAGAAAAACGTCCACAAGGGGCCCACACATAAGATGGAAACCACTCACGTGAGAGGGATAGTGTTGGCTTTTGATTGTCTCCGACTTTTCAGGGCCCGAAGTCTGTCTCCTTGCGTCACTCCATTGATTTCGTCATCATCATCACTATACTGTATGTATTAAAACAACAACAAAAACAAAAAGAAACACTGAGCAATCATTAACTTCGGTTTCGATTGAAGACAAGTGGCTACTTATATAGACACACAGAGGCATGCACAAACACATACACACAAAGGTATGCATGTATTTATGCACACATACAGAGAAACCTGCAAGCTCACACACTTAAACTCAGAGACATGGACAAGCACCCAGAGAGCAGGTATGCTGTGCACACATGCTCAGATTGTGTGAGCGCACACACAGGCAGGCAGGCAGGCAGGCAGACACACACACACACACACACACACACACACACACACACACACTTTAAGTTTCTTCTGAATGCTGCAATAGTTTTCAAAAATCAAACTACCAGCCATACTTCAAGACAATCAAAGCTAACTTTCAGAATTACCAGACCCAAGGCCCTCTCTTCATAAGAGAAAAGATACATATGGGTGTGTGGTTTTAGAACTTGTTAGAGTTCGATCGTCCATTCATTACCTCTTAACTGAGTAGTCCTGCCTCCATCTTAACTACCAAAGCAGATGAAATGAGGGTGAGGGCTGGTGTTGGGGAGTAACTAGATCCACCTGAATGAAGAGCTTACTCCCTGCTGCTAATTTCCACCTGTGTTTAGGAAGTAAAACATTCTATGCGCACGCAACTTTCTTTTCAGTCAAACGTTTCTAGAGACGGTCATATCTAAACACGACTGTGTGTGACAGCCCCTTCAAAGCCGGTTTATTTTCTTTACCTATAGTCTTCTCCATGCCCTACAAGGATCTCAACAGCATTTACAGCAATAACAACAGCGTGATCGGGATGGTTCCATTACCGGCTCAGACTCTTGCTTGTCTTGATTCTCAAGGCCATTTATCGAAATATCATCAACATCCGAGAGGTGTCTGGAGAAGGCTGCTCTGAGGGGTCCATTCTCCTGCCCTCTCAACTTTTGACGGAAATAGTCGCCTTCCAGCCAGAGGCTTGACTGTTTCCTAGAGTGTTTAAACAACATCAAAATACAGCTTTCCCTAAGGACACCCCACCCCCATCCCTGCTGTCAACGGGAGTCAAGCTTCCAGTGCACTTACATGACCAGAAACTGCTGCTGGGGCCCAATCACTGAACCAGGTCTGCAGATCCTGAGCCAGGCAATGCTCTCAGCTGCAGTCATCCTATAATGCTTCATGAGGTAGCAGCCTATCAGAGTGCCTGTTCGACCAAGGCCAGCTAGAAAAACAAACCAATCAATGAAACCTGGTTGTGCATCCTCCGGAAGACAGCGGGGAATTTTCTCAGCAGAGCCTGGTGTAAATGAAAGGAGTCCCCAGGGTTTGCCCCCCTCTACAAAGTTTCTCTAAGTCTGAAGAGATGTAAAAAAGGCCAGCATCAGGTCTCTCACCTAAGTGGGATGCAAAGACTGGATCCCTCTAAAATCCCCCAGGGAATCTGAAGACATGTGCTATTTGGAGCTCGAGAGGGGACCTAATGGTTAAGATCAGCTCTTACAGAGTACCCAGCATCAACCATCATGCGGCTCCTAACTACCTGTAACTCCATTACTAGATCAGTCATCCTCTGGCTGAGATACCTGCATTTGTGGGGTACACATAATTCACTCAGGCAGACACACACACACACACATTTTAAATAGGGTTTTCTGCCCAAGCCTTATATCTGCTACCACACCCAACAATATTACCTACTCAACATCTGTACCTGTTCACACTCTGCTTTCAGGGAGGAATGCTGAGGACGTGTAAGACAAGTACTCTGCCCTAAACTCTACCCTCAACCTCATTTCTCCTTTTCTTTTTAACTCTTCCTTCCATTTTGTATGTGTGGTGTGCATGTGTTGTGTATGATGCATTTGTGCGGCCACAGGTGTGAGGAAGCCTTAATCAGGAGGATTCAGCGTCTTCCTTCATTGCTCTCTACCTTATTCACAACACAGGGCTTCTGAATCGAACCTGATGGACTTCACCCGTATGGCTGGTTTGGCAAGCTACTATGGTCTGGAAATCCCGTCTCTTCCTTCCCTGTAACTATTGGTGGGATTGATAGATGACCACCTAGCATTTCTGTGTACTCAGGAGGTCTCATACTTAGCGCTGACAGGCACTGTAGATGCTGAGTCATCTCCTAAGCTCTCTTCTCTCCTCTAACAGAGGTCATGATAATTATCTCCTATGATGGCGCTGTGTCAACTCAGAAGGGATTTTTGGTTGAGATCAGCATTCCAACTGGTACCGTTTTTAGTAAGCATGCTGCGGAAAGGACATTATGGAAAATAATGTCCTCTTCCAGGCCACTCAAAGTCTGAGCAGAACGAAGAGACTACTAGCTTTCCATCGGAGAGCAGGTCTGCCTTCACGCCTCCAGGCAGGCAGCTCATAGTACAGATGACAGACTCACCAACATCACAACTTCTTTTAATCAACCATTCTATATATAAACATGCTATTGCTTTCCATCTCTAGAGGGCTCTCCCTGATCCACTCGATTTACAATAAGGGCGATGTTGAATGAAGCAAATACATCAAATTGTGGCAGTGGCTTTGGAACTGGAAGGCAGAGAACAGACCGAGGTGGCTGCTAGGAAAAAAACACCCCAGATGATGGTGAGCAATGAACAGTTTCAGCCTCCTGCCACCCACAGTGTGACAGTGGCTGTGGGATTTTTATACATGGTTTCCTTATGGGGAGGTAGCTTCCTTCTTTCTTCTTAGTGGTTTTATCATGAAAGGGAGGCGCCGAAATCTGCCAAATGCCATTATTCCTACATTAGCAGAGATGATGATGTGGTTTTGGACTTCACTTTTACTGTGGAGATTCACACTGACTTTCTTATGTTGCATCACTTCTGTAATTCCAGGACAATCGCTTTACTAGAGTGAATAATACTTCACTGTATTGCATTATTTGAGGGTCTCCTGTACCCCAGACCGGCCTCAAACCCACTATGTGGCTGAGGGTAATCTTGAATTGTGATCCTCCCCAAGGATAGGATTGCAGGTGTATACCATGACAAATCAAATCCATGTCATCATGTTTAAAAAGCAAACCCTCTACCAATGAAGACCCAGCTCCCTATAACCCATTTACTATGTTACTGAATTCAGCTGGTTAACACTCAGTTCAGGATGTTCACGCTGCTGATAGGATTGCATACCTTCTTTGCTTGTGTTAGGCTGCAAGGCAATCCTGGCTTCATACTTACAAGGTCTTTGTTCTCTTAAATCTTTGAGTAAGTCTCTGAGAACTGGTATCAGTCACAGGTGATGATTCTAGTCCAGAGTTTTCCTTCATCGGGGAAGTTCACTGCAATTCAACCTTCTCAGTGTTGGTACTTTGAACCCACCTTCTACATCTCATGGTGACCCTGCATTGGTGAGTTTTGTGTTTCCAGGAATTTTCTACTTCATTTCCAGTGTCCAACTTTTTGTTTTCTGCACCTGTTCACATTAATCTCTTACTGGCTGTTCACATGTGTTCATACACACGTGTGCAGTTTTATCACTCTCAAACCATATCCCCTTGAAACAGGGTCTCTGAATGAACCTCGAGCTTGCTGTTTTCAACAGGCCATTCGGCCGAGCCAACTTCCTGTCTGCTCCAAACCCGTTGCAGAGGTTAAAGGTGCCTAAATCCATGCCTAACTTTTTACATGTTGATCCAAGTCCAGGTCCTCTTACCATTTCTATACAATGTCCATTATTGCCCCCACTGTTCTCATTGTAATAATTGAGCCTTTTCTCTCTTATCTTCATCAATATAACTGAAGGTTGTGGGGTGTTTTTGTTGTTGTTTTGTTGACTTTGTGAAGAAATGATCCTGGATTTGTTGATTTTTTTTTTCTTTTTTTCTTCTTAAATGTGTTAAGTAGTTAGCTATTACTAGTCTTTCACCTTTCTGTGTGCATATTTTACCTCTAGCAGAAATACTTGCTTCTTCATGTGGCTTTTTGAGTCACTCTTTGGGACCTTTCCACTTGGCTGTAGGGTTTTTTCAGTAACTGGATTATTGTCAAGTCACTGTCCCTGGCCTCCACAGCTTCCAATGGAAGATCTGCTAGCTAGGGCATTTCTTCTCTTGCTTCTCTCTCTGTTTCTGTCTTTAGATGGTCTCATTATAAAGTACCATTGTGTGAATCTGAGTTTGCAGAGTTGGAAAATGTCTACAATTGTGTCTTTCATCAAAGTGGGAAATTTTCTAGGCGAACAGTTTGCCTCCATCTTTCCTCTGCAGGAGAGTCCACCAAACACATCTGGTCTTCCAGACTTCATCCCATAACTCTGCTAGGATCTGCTCCTTTCTTTTTGACTCCTGCATGTATGTCTGTGGGAAGCTGCCACATCACACCTCCTGGAACTTGAGTTGTGAACTACCATGTGGGTGCTGGGAGCTGAACCCGAATCCTTTGGAAGAGCAGCCAGAGTGGCCAGTGCTCTTAACCACTGAGCCATCCCTCCAGCCCTGACATGTTTAATGGCTCTGCTCTTTTACAGTCCTGGCTTCCTCCCTCTGCCCGAGATCGTCTGCTTTGGAACCCTGCCAATAAGTTTTTAGCTTTATTTCCAGAATTATCTTTTGGGTTTACTTTTATGGTTTGTCTTCTATCGACACTTGGATTTTGCTCACATATTTTCCCCTTTCTTTTCCTTTATTTCCTTTTCGCCATAAGCACCACTGAAGTAGCGGTTTTAAATCCCCTATCTAGAGAATCCACTATCTGATCCTTGCCAAGGATAGTTTTTGTGGATTTTGTATACTTTCCTGGCTCCCCTTTCATTTTATTTTATTTTTTGGTACGTCTTGCCATCTTCCGCTGCAAAACGAACATTTGAGTATTGTGATTATTAACTACACTCCTAACTACAGTTTTAACTCTAGAAATTTGGTGATTATTTTTTTTTCTTTTCCTTGCTAATACATTTTTCTTAGTGATTATATCCCTTGTTTCCTAAATTAACTAGCTTACACTAAAGTTAAATGAACTCTACTATATTCGTACAGCCATTCACTGAACATTTACTATCAGAAGCTGTTACAGCTGCTGAAATATATTCTGTCTGATCTTACCATCCACACAGAAAGCAGCAAGTTAGGCCTTGCTCTATCACTGACAACCTAAGAACTTACCATATAGGCACAAGACTGTAACGAGTATGGTTTTTCCACCCACCGCCTTGTCTTGTCCCACCACCACGCCAGCCCCAAATAACACATTGAGACTCTGTATTAGATATAATTCTGTTGGCCCATTATTTGTTTCTTATCGGCTAGCTCTGCCTTAATTATTAACCCATTGGTCTATGTATTTCTCTTATCGGGGAGCCAGCAGGCATTCTTTCTCCAGACTCTCCATCTTGGCTCCTCCTTCCTACTTCCTCTTTCCTCCTTGTCTCCTAGTCCCTCCTATCTTCCTTTCCTATTGGCCAACAGTGCTTTATTCAATTTTTTTAAATGGGAGATGCCATTACATGACAGACTCTATTGAATAAATACAAACACTTCAAGGTGATAAGCCTTTGTAGGCTTGTTTACTCATGAAAGTAATTTACTATGCTGTACATATAATTTTAGGGTTTTAAAATCATTTCTGGCCAGCGAGATAGATCAACTGGTAAAAGCACTTGCTGCCAAGTCTGAAGATGTGGGTTCCATCCCAGGGACTATATGGTGAGAGAACTCTTCCTTTCTTCCTTCCTCCCTCCCTCCCTCCCTCCCCCCCCCTCTCTCTCTCTCACACACACACACACACACACACACACACACACACACACACACGGTGACATCATAAAAAAAAAACTTAGGTCATTCTTTAAAGGTACAATGTCTTGTGTCTTGCCATGTGACATAAAAGGATACATTTCTACTTATGAGCTCATATGTGTACACTGCCCTTTAAACTAACCTAGCCGCTTACCTTTGCAATGTACAGCAATGGCACCCTCAACATTTTCGCAAATATCCAGAAATTCTTGGACAATTGACTCAGCAGGAGTGCTGCCATCCGGAAAGAAAAGATCATGGTGATCGAAACCAGCATCCGTAAAGCGCTTAGCATCATACATCCTTTTATTCAGACGGATAATGGTAGTTACATTGTGATTCTTAAAATATGGAATATAAGTCTCAGGAGAATGTTGGTGGTAACCTACATAAAGAAATGCACCACATCTTGTAAAATGCAGGAAGGAAACAACGGAAAATACTTTCACCTGAAAGTGGGTGGAAACAGAGACTGGATTGGGGACTGAGTACCAATTTGATTATAACTGTAAAAACAAAAGTTTAAAAAGTTAACATCCAGGCAGAACAATGTGCTCAAATAACCAAGAGTGGTTAAATCATAAAGACTGAGTCAAAAGCTTAGCTTAATTCTTTGGTCTCTGTTCCTAACCTGGGCTGAGTGCCCCACTGCTGGAAGGTGACCACAGAATGCTGCCCCTATCCCAGGCACCCAGACATAGGGCACACCAGAACTCAGGTCTGGAAGTACCCGCCTGCCTCACTCAGACTCGCAAACAGCTGGGACAACAGGCACATGCTACTGTGCCCAGTTTGCTGTTCCATTTCAAAAGGAAAAGGCTATACTGGTTCCATAGTTTTGCATACCACTCTCAAGCCTGGATCTTGAATGAGGTCCACAGAAGGCAAGAAACCGCTCCGGTATTATCCAGTTGAAATCGCCATTTTCTGCTTTCTACAAAGGAAAGACCAGCACAATTAACCTGGGACCATATCTCCTTCCACAGCCCTTCTTCAATGCTCTCAAGGTTCAAAGTCATTGGTTTTAGCTTGTCAGCTGCTTACTAAGGAGCACAAGACAGAAATGTATTTTGCCTCGCTTTGAGTATCCCAAGGGATGGCTAACCTTCCTGGTGTCATCACTTTGTTTTAAAAGTGTTTCTTTGCTTAGGTCATCAACCTAGAAAATATACTCTGTACTCACTTATATTTCAACTCCCTGGTTACTTTATTTGAATAAATTCTTATTATAGGAAATTAACACCCATTAAGAAAGCAAACTTTTCTAATGTGTGTCCCCTGCCCCATTATCCTAAACAGATAAAGTAATTTACAATTTTGACTCCCTGAGTAAAAACGGAGAAAGTATCGGATAGAAGCAATGTCTCCATTGCCTCTAAATAACAATAAGGAAACACTAAAACATACTTCATGTTGTGTATGTGTGTGCAGAGAACAGCCGTGGGTGTCATTCTTCAAGTGCTATCCGCCTTACTTTTATTTTTTTTTTGGGGGGGGGCAGGGTCTCACACTACATAACCAAGGCTGTTCTGAACTTGCTATTGTAGACTAGGATGTACTTGAACTCAACAGAGCTCTGTCTGCCACTGCTTTCCAAATGCTGGGATTACCAGCACGCACCATCACATCCAGCATTACAAGACTTTTACGAAATAAAAGGCAATTGACTGTGATACAGAGCATCAGCGCCAAAAAGAGAAAAATCCCTTAGCAACTGTGGTAACAGAAACATGGTGCTTCATGTGCCAACGGCTATTTTTAGTATTTCATATACGTAGAAAAAGTTTTTTGTTGATAGTTTTGGTTTTTCAAGACAGGGTTTCTCTGTGGCTTTGGAGGCTGTCCTGGAACTAGCTCTTGTAGACCAGTCTCCAACTCACAGAGATCCGCCTGCCTCTGCCTCCCGAGAGCTTGGATCAAAGGAATGTGCCATCACCACCTGGCCTAGATAAAGTATTTTTAAGTGTGTGTGTGTGTGTGTGCAGGCCCAAAGTTGACATCCGATGTTCAATCACTTTCCACTTCATTTATTGGAACATGGTCACTTCCTAAAGGCAGAGCTTTTGGACTCTTAACTAGGTTGGTCTGGCTCACCCCTGGGGGCGGGGGAAGGAGACGAAGAGGACAACGACGACATTTGTTTTGAAATTTAGTTATAAATCACTGAAGGACATAGTTAAATACTGCACTTTAGAGGGTGTTACAAGGAAGAAACAAACAGCTGTCATGAGTGAATCCCGGGATAAGCTTTACCTTTGCGACAAAAAAGGGCCCAGACCATCAACAAAACACTTCAGTTTTCTAAATAAAAGCTCTTCAGAAATTGACAGCAAAAGCTAATTGTCTCTGGACTTGGGATATGAATGCATGGAGCACTGTCTGCAGAGCATCCCCTCCTTCTGAGGAAGTTCACTCAAAATAACTACAGCAGGACACAAAGAAAAGAGTATAAGCTTCCCTGCCTCCAGGGAGCATTTAATACAGTAGCTTACTCATCTGTTTGTAAGACAGAATCCTACAATCAAACATAGAAGCTATCTGTGGATTTGCCTGCTCCATCTTCTTTATCTGATATGGCAGGCCAGGACCAGAGTCCCGGCAGGGTCAGAGAATTCAGTCTGGCAATAATAATCGACATCCCCACATGAGTGTGCATGCGTGCGTGTATGCGTATTGGCCAGAGAATTGTCTTGCAATAATAACTGACATTCCCACATGAGAGAGAGGAGGGGAGGGGGAAAGGGGGGCTGGAAGGGAGGGAGGAGGGGGAGAGTTGCAGGCCAGAGATCAACTCCTCACCACCTTATTTTCTGAGACAAATTTTCTCATTGAATCTGGACCTTCCTGATTTAGCTAAAGTAGCTGACCAGTGAGCCCCAGGAATCCTGCTTTTTGCACCTCCCCAATGCTGCTGGCATTATAGGCGTTCACTGCCACACTGGGCTCTTTTCGTGGATACTGGGATCCAAAATCAGGTTCTCATTCTTGCACAGTAAGCATTTTTCTGAGCCATCTCCTCAGCTCTGCTCCTGGATTTTTAATCTGCAGATTTCAATAAAATGTTTGCTTTTTTATTTAAAAACATTTCAGGCTTTTTTGTTTTTAGATAAGAGTGTTGCTATGTAGCCCTGGCTGGCTTGAAACTCACTATGTAGACCAGGCTGGCCTCAAGCTTGCTGCTGCCTCCTGAGTGCTCGGATTAAAGATGTTTGCCACCACACCTGGCTATTTGTGCCTAGTTTTCATAACTTGAAACACAATGTGGAGTCAACACAAATAGGGTATAACAATAGCCAAGTATACTTTAGCTGTCCCTTGTCACAGCAACTAATCATCTTTCTGTGCCCGCAGTGAGGGCTTCAAACCTGTATCCCCATCACTACAGGAAGGTCACCAAGACTAAAAAGAACTTAAACCAAGCAGTGCAAAAACTGTACCAATGAATACCCGTTCTGTCTGGAGCCGTTATTAAACTCAGAAACTACCATTAAGAATCATGAATTGGCTGGGCAGTTGTGGCACAAGCCTTTAATCCCAGCACTTGGGAGGCAGAGGCAGGAGGGTCTCTGTGAGTTCAAGGCCAACCTGGTCTTCAGAGCAAGTTCCAAAGCTACAGAGAAATCCTGAATCAAAAGACAAATAATTTCTTTTTCTTTCTCTCTCTCTCTCTTTTTTTTTTTTGGCCCTCATGTGCATGTGTGTCTGTTGGGTTCCTACATGTATGCAGATGTGTGGTATGAGCACATGAAAGCCCAAGACTTCCATTGACATTGGTAGTCTTCCTTGATTGCCTTCTACCTCACATACTAAGGGACGGTCTCTCAGCTGAACCCAGAGCTGGCTGGTCACTATGTCTGCCTAGTATTTTTGTGTGTTCTTTCTAGACGTTCAAACTCCATTCCTCAATGAAACATCTCCCTAGACATACTGCTTAATAGAATTCTGGTCACAGCACATATTTCCAGTAAGAAGCTCTGAATCTTATGTGCAGGCTACTCCTGCATCTTTTGTTTTGTTTTTCCAGTACAGATTTGGCTGTGCTGGAACTCAATCTGTATGTAGACAGGGCTGGCCTTGAACTCACAAGAGATCTGCATACCTCTGCCTCCTGCGTGCTGGGATTAAAGGTGTGCACCACCACCCTGATGTCCTTGCACCTTAAATGTCTGCAGCACCAACACTGCAGAAATGGCACACACGTATGTGAATGAGGTTGACCCTGACAACCATTTCACAAGCACATCGCCATCAAAACATTATCTGGGCCAGCACTTGCCACGCAAGCATGATGACCAGAGTATGAGCCCCACCAGGACCTATGTAGACAAAGAGGAAAAAACGGACTCTGCTATGGTGTCCTCTGACCTCACGAGCTCACCAAGACACATCATACACACATAAGCATAATAAATAATAATAACAGTAGCAACAATATCAGATAAATTAAAAGCATTGCTTTGTACACTAATACAGATAATACTGGTCAATGACACCTGAGTAAAGTGTGGAGTAAGGGGACTGAGAAAAGGAACTCGGAACTTACTTCATAGTGTTCGTATTCATCAAGGTTAAATGTGTTGAAATTAAAGAAGCCATACTGCATTGCCTGAAATATGAAAGAAAACTTTTAAGAACAAAGGTATAAACAAAGGCCAATTTCCTACCCAATTTTCTACCAAGCACCAGGAAATGTCTTAGAAAGTAGTGCTGTATTCATGTTGAGCATCTTCTAAGGATGTAGGAGTTTTGTTCACCTATTTGGGGCCCTTATACCACACCCATAGCCCAGACATAGCAATTGTGACCAATTTATTTTCATATAAAACTTTGTGACAAATTAATTGCTGTCCAAATTACCCTGCAGGGGGATGGGACCCAGGACCTGCATATACTAGGCTGCTACTGCCACTGTGTAAAATTCCCTGCCCCACAGTTACTGTGTTTTTTTTATTTATTTATTTATATATATATACATACATACACACACACACACCTCAGAGGAAAAAGGGATTCAACTTTTTTTTTTTTTTTTTTCCTTTTAAATCAGACACACAGAACCAAATTACTTAACCCTCCCCCTACCCGCTCTGAAACAAAGGTTTCTCTGTATAACAGCCCTAGTTGTAATTAACTTGTGCCTTGTTTCTGTGATGCTGGGGTTGAAGCCTTGGCTTCTCGAATGCCAAACAAGTGCTCCACCAACTGACAGCCCCAGGTTGTCTCCAGTCTGTGAGTGACTTTTCCATCCCCTTCATGCACAGAAGCAATGAGAATTTCAGAATGAGCTGTTTATTGGTTCCGGGTCACTTTTAATGCTAACCAGGAAGGGAATGGTTCTGACCTTACACACCTCTTCTGAAGGAATTCTAACAGAGCTGTGTAGAAAAAAAATGCCTCATCTTCTCCAAGACACTCACTCACCTTCTTTACTGCGTGAAAACAGTCCAGAAGTGTAATATAGAAACTGCAGCTTCCGTAGGCAGCATCTCTGAAATTCCCAAAGTGTTACTCTGTTAATAATGTTCAACAGCATACTCACCCCAAGACAAAGCTGACTAGTATTCAGCGCTCCAGTAGCCTCTACAACATGGCCACAAGCATTTTATTCCTATAGTTATACTAGAACTGGATAGTTTAGCTGGATAACTGTTTTCCATTTGTTTCACTTTATTTTACGTGTATTGGTGTCAGATCCTCTGCAACTGGAGTTACAGACTGTTGTGAACTGCCATGTGGGCGCTGGGGGATTGAACCTGGGTCTTCTGGAAGCACAGCCAGTGCTTTTAACCACTGAGCTCTCTCTCCAACCAGCTTTCTAATTAATTCTTTTTGTTGTTATTTTTGTTTTTTTCTAGTCAGGGTTTCTTTGTTAACAGTTCAGTCCTGGCTGTCCTAGAACTCTCTTTGTAGACCAGGCTGGCCTCAAATTTACTGAGATCTGCCTGCCTCTGCCTCCCGAGTGCCACCACCGACCGGTCTCTTTCTAATTCTTAAGGGTCAAAATTCCAACAAATTCACAAGAGCAAAAACACCCAAACCTTTGGTAAAATCACTCCATATCTGAGCAAGTGCATAATTAGCCAACAGACATTGCCACTGAGATACTACACTAGTGTTAGTACTCAGGCTCATATACTGCCCTCCTTGGGGTTCTGACAGGGTCTGCCCTCAGCCGCAGCTACTAAGAGCACCAATTGTGCACATACACTATATTCCTTTTTAAGAGGGCCCCACCCACCTTCCACCATCTTCTAGTCCCCCTCTCCTGTCCCCAGAGACCACTCTCCCCTTTTTATGGTCCCTTTCCCTTATTAAAAATCCCCTCCACTTAATGTTGAATGGATTCTTTCTCTCTCGAGCTGCTGTTTCATTATTACAACAACCAGCCCTATCAATCAATGGGAAGAGGGAATGACCAAAGTGCAGGGAAGGTAACTGTTAACTACTACCATTAACTTCTTCTCTGTGTACCCTGGCTGTCCTGGAAAACTCACTCTGTAGACCAGACTTACCTCAGACTCACAGAGATCCACCTGACTCTTCTCCTGAGTGCTGGGATTAAAACTGTGCACTACTACCACCTGGTCTTAATGTGATCAACCATTCTCCAACCAGGTAAAGGCATACTGATTTCTTAGAGGACTACAATGGCTCAAGCCCTTCTTTACTCAAGGCGCACCTCACACTTTCAGAACACACTTACTTGCTTCCTGGGTACCCTGACCGAGCCACCAGGAACCATCCTCAATTGGCCTTCCACCTTATTAAGGCAAGCAAGCTCTCTTAGCAAACCCGGAGGCCACAAATATGACTGGCCTTGCTAGCCTAGCTTGCTCTAGGGACATACTGTCGTCTTTCCTTTCCAAGGCAGACACTACAGGTAGGCCATCAACCCCACCCAGCATTTATGTGGGTTGTGCAGAATCTAAAATCTAGCCCCCCAAGCCTGTGCAGCAAATGCTTTAACTACTGAGCCACCCCCCAAGATGCACACTAGATGACTCCAGAAACGAAGTTCAAAAAACAAATAGGCTTAAGAGACAGCAGGAAAGGTAACAGAACAGCAGCCTCCACAGGAGGTTGATAACTGATAGAGGACAGGAGGGAATCTTTGGGGGTAAAAGCCATGTTCTGCATCCCAAAGTGTGGCAGTCATATATACATATGTAAGACTTAGATTTACAATTCATTTTTAGTGCTGTGGGCTGGGGTGCAGGTTCAGTGGTGCTTGTGCAATGCCTGGGTTCAATTCCTAAGTTTTGCACACAAATAAATGCAACGTTTGTTTGTTTTTTGAACATTAGTGTTTTCTTTCCAAATTGTATGTATCAACTTTAGGGAAGGAGAAAGGGCTATGAACACTGAGCAAACACTGGGCAGGCACTATGGTGTATTTGTTTGTTTTTATGAGCATAACTTCTTGCCAGTAGGTACTACTACAGTTTCTATCTTCAAACTGAGGCTTAAGTTTGTAAAGGAGATAGCAACAGCAAAGCTAAGGGTCAGTTCTCTATCTGATAACCAAAGCAAGTGATTAACAACTACAAGACAGGCATGGTGGTGCATACTGTAGCCCCAGCGTTTGGGAGGTGCACACAAGAGGATCGGGGACAATACAAACTCTATCTCAGGGGATGGGAACTCACAAAAAGTACAACAAAACTAAGAAGCCCAGTATTACTACAGACAACGGAAATACAAGTATACTCCATTAGACTACTTTTCTCACTTAGAGAACAATGAATTTAATAAGAAATTACATGCTACCAGGTCCACATTTTTAATCCCAACACTCAGGAAGCAGAGGCCGGAGGAATTTTGTTGAGTTTGAAGCAGTCTGGTTTACATAGTGAGTTCTAGAGACACCCTATCTCACACACTCACACACACACACCAACAACACACCTTTCTTTACTTCCAGCATTCAGAAGGCAGAGGTGGGCAGATCATTTCCAGAGACAAAAGGTGAAGCCAGTAGACATTTGAGGTTCTGATAACAGGAATGGGGCGGGGGAGTCACTGGAGTCCAGCAAAAAGAGGCCAGAAGTGACAACATTCCAATAGTATTAATGTCAAGGTCTTTATGTCATGCCACTTCCTGACAGGCTCCCCCCACCCCAAGAATTACTACCAAAAAGTTCCTAGTAGGGTATGATCAAATAGACCTACCGCATTACCTGTATATTTATAATAACAGTAATAAAAACTATATGATATTGGCATTAAAAACAGGCTGGTCAATGGAATCTCATTGAAGACCCAGATGAAAATCTACATACCTATGGACACTTGATTTTTGACATAAAAGCCAAAATTAGTCAATGGAAAACAGCAAGCATTTTAAACAAATGGTGCTAGTCTAACTAGATGGTAGTTTGTGTAAGAATACAAATTGATCTGTTATCTATCACCCTGCACAAAAATCAAGTCCAAATGAATCCAAAGATCTCAACATAAATCCAGAGAGAGTGGGAAATCGCCTTGAACACACTGGCACTGGAGACAACTTCCTGAACAGAACACCAACAGTGCAGGCATTAAGATCAACAATAAATGGGACCCCGTGAAACTGAACAGCTTCTCGAAAGCAAAGGATACTATCAGTAGGACAGAACGACAGCCTACACAGTGGGAAAAGATCTTCACCAATCCCACATCCCACAGAGAGCTGATTTCTAAAGTGCATATGAAGAAATAATGAAACTGGACCTCAAAAAAAAAAAAAAAAAAAAAAAAAAGAATGACCCAATTTAAAAATAGGGTGCAGATTTAAACAGAGAACTCAACAGAAGAATACCAAATGGTTGACAAACATTTAAAGAAATGTTTGATATACTTAAGTCATCAGAGAAATGCCAATCAAACAACTCCATCCAACACCTGTCAAAATGTCAAGGATCAAAAATACAGGTGACAACTCATGCTGATGAGAATGTGGAGCAAGGGGAATATTCCTCCATTGCTGATGGGAGTCCAAACTTGTATAGCCACTTTGGAAATCAATATAGCAGTTTCTCAGAAAACTGGGAATCAATCTATCTTAAGACCCAGCTATACCATTCTTGGGCATGTACCCAAAGAATGTTCCATCTTACCACAAAGGACACTTGCTCAACTAAGTTCATACCAGCTTTATTGGTAAGAGCCAGAAACTGGAAATAACTTGGTGCCTCTCAACCAAGAGGGAGTATTACTCGGCTGTTGAAAACAATGGCACCATGAAACTTGCAGGCAAATGGATGGGACTAAGAAAAGTTACCCTGAGAAAATTACCTAGAACCTAGAAAAACATGATATGTACTTACTTCCTAAGTGGGCATCAGATATAAAGTAAAGAATAATCATGCTACAATCCACAGACCCAACCCAGAGAAGCTAAGTAAGAAGGAGGGCTCAAAGGGAGATGCTTGGATCTCCCTGGGAAGGGGAAATAGAAGACATTTTTGCAGATGGACTAGGGGTGGAGGGGATGGGAATAGGAGGGATCAGGTTGTGGGGGCGGGATGGAGGGGGAGAGGACTGGAAGAGAGGACTGGAATAGGGGGGAGGGCATTTCAGGCTGAGGTAGAAACACTGCAATGGAAACTCCCATCAATCTGCAAGTGATGACACTAAGACTCCTAGTAATAGTGGATACACAGCCTGAACTTGTCTATAACCAAGTGGAAGGAAGGATTAGGACACCAGGCTAGCCACAGAACTTTGACCTACAATTTGTCCTGCCTACAATATGTGCCGGGGTAAAGAAAGAGCAGAAATTGTGGGAATGGCTAACCAATGACTGGCCCAGCCTGAGATTCATGCCAGGAGAAGAAGCCCACACTTAATGTTGCCTGGAGCCCCAGGATTCAGAGGCTGGATAGCCCAGAGACTTAGGACAGAACCAAACACAACTGGGGGGAAAAAAGTCAATCTAATGATGCCTAATGATGATACTCTGCTATACTCATAGATTGGAGTCTAGACCAATTATCATCAGAGAGGCTTCATCAAGCAACTGAAACAGATGCAGAGAATGCTAGGTGGGGCTCGGGGGACCCTGCAGAAGAGAGGGGGAAAGATTATAGGAGCCAGAGGGATCAAGAAAACCCACAGAATCAAATAACCAGGGCTCATAGGGGCTAATAGAGAATGAACTGACAACCAGGGAGCCTGCGTGGGACTGGCCTAGGCCCTCTGCAGCTTGGTCTTCTTGTGGGACTCCTAACAGTGGGAGCAGGGGCTGTCTCTAATTCTTTTGACAGCCTGTGGGACCCTTTCCTCCTACTGGGTTGTGTCATCCAGCCTTAATATGAGGACAAGTGCCTAGTGTTACTGCAAATTGATATGCCATGTCTGACTGACTTCCACGGGAGGCCTGCCGTTTTCTGAATAAAAATGGAGGAATGGATGGGGAGATGAGAGGTGGTGGGAGGGACTGAAAGAGCCTCGAGGAGAGAGGGGAAACAGTAGTCCGGACATGCCATAAGCATACAAATAAACAAATAATCGTTTTAGAAAATAAAGCAAAAAGGATTACCACCAAAAACATTCTGGTAAGGGTCTGATCAAATAGATCTACCATATCACCTACACATTTACCTGAAAGGGATATAGGCTGTATCTCCAAAGATTAATGTTCTATATGCGTCTTCTGGAGTCCTCCCCAAATATATAACCTATATTTGGAAAGAAAAGAAAAGGGCAATTTACTTCTAAATGACACTGTTCTGTCACCAAGAAGCAATTTTTACACAAGCTTTGGCCAATGAGCAGAGCCAAGGTCTCAGGCTCCCAGGATCCTGCTAAGTGAGTTAATTGTTGTTTGTTTCAACATGCCAGAGAGAGCCCTCCTTGCCACATGAACCCTGAGCATACTGACACTTCAAACAACCTGTGCCAAGAAGTGCAGAGCTTTAAATGCACATGTCCCAGATCCAGATGTCTGGTAACATGCTTTAATTCTCCTTCCTGAACATCCTCAGAAGTGACAAGTGAAAACGCAAACTGGGGACTGGACTCGGGTGACATGGTAACCCAAAAGCAGACCTGGTGGATCTTACTTATTGTTGTTGTTGTTGTATGATGTTTGCCAATGTAACCAAACGAGCTAATGTGGCAGCCACAGGATAACTCTGAAGCTGCTTCTCTCCTTTACACCATGTAAATTCCAAGCATCAAACTCAGGTCCATAGACTTAAGCAGCAAGAGCCTTTACCTGCTGAGCCATCCTGCTGGTCCCAAATTATCTTTCTAAGTTATTTATTTTATGCTATGCGTGTTTTGCCTTTGAGTATAACTGTGCACCACGTACATGTGGTGCTGAGGAAGCCAGAAGAGGACGGTAGAGTTATAGAAAATTGTGAGCTACCACACAGGTGCTGGGAATTGAACCCAGGTCTTATGCAAAATGCCAACTACTGAGCCACCTCTCTAGCTCTCCCATATCATTATATATCTGCACCTATGCCTGCACCCACATCTGCATCTACATCTATACCTGCATCTGCATCTGCGTCTATATCCCAGTGCTGCAGACTGAACTGCATGTTAGTTAGAAAGAAGCCACCACAAAAACCTCAATTCGGTCTCTTCCGTCTTACTTAGGGTACTGTCCCACTGTGAAAGTTTCCTACTGGACTAACTACATCTGCTGCTTCTGTCTTCAGAACTATGGTATGTTTCTGTTTTCCTTCGGTAAATACACTGGAAACACCTTTTCTTTTCTTTCTTTCTTTTTGTTGAGCCAGAATCTCATGAGCTATGTGGCCCTGGCTGACCTGGAACTCACATGCTCCTTGCCCTGTTGCACTGCCCCCTTATCTCAGGTCCCAGAGCACTAGCATTAACTGACCCACAGCCACAATCCACGACGAAGCTCTCCTCATCCTCATTACAAGGTGTAGGCTCAGGTATGTCACAGTACTGCAAAGTTGAGTAACATCGGATAACTCCACTAAAGTCTTATCTTTCCTACGTTCTACCCAAAAAAATAAAATTAACTCCCCCCAAAAAACCCTCATCCCTCTTAAATCAAACCCCAAAACTCAATTTAAAAACCCTGCCACAATGCCACTACTTCCTATGGATCGCCTGTTCATTGGTACAGACAAAACAGCAAGTCCCAACTAAACAAGAAAAAGATGACTCTAAAACACATTCCTCTGACAGCACCACAGAGCTGGGCGGCAGCATGAAATTCCTTACCTATTTGCCTCAACAAAATAAACCCAGGGATGCACTATATGCTGGTTGTCGCTGCCCTCAGAATCGGGCCTTGTCACTGTTGTAGATACTGGGCCTGCTGAGAGCGGGAATTCAGCATTCACACGGTTTTGTCACTGTATCCTTGGAGCTTCTCCATCCTATAAATTACAACTTGCCAGTGGCCTTTCGCAAAGTTACATGATTTTTGACTTTGGAGTGGGAGGCCATGGATTTACGGTGTTACTTTCCATCACTGTGACAGAGCACCTAGGACAATGATCCTTGGGGGGGGGGGTGTGGTTCAATGTGGGGAGAGTTACTCCACAGTGCTCTGGGTCCTTTTGTTCTCTTTGTGTTAAGAGCCCAAAGCATGGAAAACTGGTGGCGCCACCTCATCTTCTGAGTCATACCAGAGACTCTGACTAACCCAGGAAAAGGCAATGGATGGGACACTTATCCCCTTTCAAGTAACAAGAGGGTGACAATCATAGCTACAATTTCATTGCAACTGTTTGTTCGTCCATTCATAGATTAGATTAGATTAGATTAGATTAGATTAGATAGAGACAGACAGACAGAAGTTCCCCATGTAGCCCTGTGACTGGCCTGGAACTCTCTGTGCAGACCAGGCTGGCCTCAAATTAGGAGATCCTTCCGCCCTCCACCTCCTGACTGCTGGAATTAAAGGCTCCTGGCTCACTGCAACTTTTATTAGTGATCAAATCAGACATCAATCATGCTATAAACTCCTGAATACACAAGACACTTCAGACAAGAGATCTCCTAAAGGTTTCAAGAATTATAATAAACAGAACTGTTAAGAAAAAAAGAAAAAACCAGGCAGTGGTGGCACACGCCATTAATCCTCCCACTCAGGAGTCAGAGGAAGGCCTCTGTGAGTTTGAGGCCAATATGGTAGACAGAGCTAGATCCAAGACAGTTAGGGCTGTTATCAGAGAAACCTTGTCTTGAAAAACCAAAAGAAAAAACTAAGACATTGTATTCCTTAATGAACCACCTACTAAATACATAAAACCAAAAGTTCCTGGAAGTCTCTGGGGTGAAAGAGCTGGATTTTCTGTAGATCTGTGTGTGCATGTGTATATACAGGCAATCCAAACAAGCTAACTGGAAATCCAGAGAGCCCTTTCAGAATTTCTCTAGTTTTCCAAGACCTCCTTCTTTACAGAAAACAAGTTTTTCCTTATACATCAATTTAAGGTAATTTTTATTCCACCAGACTGTAGCTTTATGGTTTCCTTTAAATACCAAAATGGTATTTCCCTCTAAACTTCAAAATAAAAATAGCCTTTTAATTCACTAAGTAACTGTGGGTTGGTCTTGGAACACAAGTTCAATTCAAAGAACAGAAGAACAATGCATCATTTTCTCCTATGGGGGTGAGTGAGAGAAAAATACAGATTCTCAGCGATGAACTTTTAAAAAACTAGTTTTAAAATCTGTTTAGGAAATGACTATACAACAATAGATAAGAAATGACTTAATCAGGTAAGCTGACAGAAACCTAAACCTCTGTATTTAGCTATTAAATATTTGCTAGCAGGCTGGAGAGATAGCTCAGAGGTTAAGAGCATTTGCTGATCTTGCAGAAGACCTGAGTTCAGTTCCCAGTTGGTGGCTCACAACCATATATAACTCTAGATCCAAGTATATGACACCCTCTTACGGCTGCCACAAACACTGTATGCATGTGGTATATATAATTAGACACAGGTGGGCACTTACACATATAAAATAAAAACAGCTCTTTATAACATCTGCAGTACTTGCTTTCATACCTACTCGTCTTTCTGATCGAAGACCTTCCCACGTAAAGCTGTCCTCAATGTGGCTCTTAGGAGGCACCCTACTAAGTGATTTCTATATTAACACAAATGCTCAGATTAGCAAAAAACTATCAAAAATCAACCCTGCTGGTTATTTGGACACAAGGAATGCCTTGGCAAATTCTTTCAGGATATTTATATCAGAAGCTATGTATACAGAATGCCCACTCGAATGTCATGATGCTATTTTGAAGCCAAGAAACAGATGATTGCCAAGAGATGAATTAGATGCTGTGACAGCCAGCTTCCAAGACAGTCCCAAAGAGCCTTAGCTCCTTGTATTTCCACCTTTAACCTGTCCTCTCTTACATTATCACAAATAAATGCTACAAAAATGACAAGAATGTGGGGCTGGAGAGGGGGCTGTGGTTAGGAGAACCAGCTGTTCTTTCAGAGAGCCTAGGTTTACTCCCAGCATCCACTCCGATGCTCACAATGGTCTGTAACTCCAGTTCCAAAGATCAGACACTGTCTTCTGACCTCTAAGAGCACAGCACACACAGTGATACAGACACATGCAGAAAACAAAACAAAAACCACTCATACAAATAAATAAATAAATGTTTAAAGCATAGGGAATAAAATGTAGGGGGGAAAATAATTAGCAGAGACACTTCTGAGGTGAGGTCACAGAATGTGGCTGTGCCTTGCTTTCCTTTAGATCCTAACACTGGGTAAAGCAAACTGTTTTGGGAGCATCCTTACCAGATCACATGGTGAACAATGTCTCCTGCCAAAGTTCAACAGTGACTTGCCAGGGCTGTGAGTAAGCCGTCTCTGGATAAGATCCTGGAGACAACTAAAGACCAGGAGCTTGAGAACCAACCAGACCCACCCAAGAGAAGCCACTCCCAACTCCTAACCTAAGCAAACTCTCGAATACTTGCTGGGAATGTAGCCCAGTTGAAAGGGTGTTTGCCTAGCATATATGAAGTCCTAGCTTTTGTCTCCAGCCATGACATTGAAACAGGGCATGGGAAATTCAAGGCAAACCTGGGTTACATGGCACCCTTTATCAAAACAAATAAAACCCAGACCACTGCCTATTGTTTTAAGTCACCAACTCTGAAGGTGACCTGGGCTGCAGTAGGCTATACAGTAGCACACCCAGTAGTAAAGAAATAACTCAGCTTATAAAACTAGATTTTAAAAAAATTATATGGCAATTGCAGAGATATGACAGGATCAGTAATTTTTATGCAGCAACAGTCCTAAAAACAGTACTGAAGGTAAAAGTGCTTGCCTGCCACAAAACCTGGCAACCTGATTTTGATCCCCAGTATGCGGGTGGTGGAGAGAACTGACTCCCGACAGACAGACGGACGGACGGACGGACGGACACGGACACACACACACACACACACACACACACACACACACACACACGTCCCAGCTACTTAGAAGTTGAGGCAGGAGGCTTAAGGACAGGAGCACAAGGCCAGCCTAAAGAGGCATGGTGAGACTGTCTGATACAAACAAAAAAATAACAAAACATGGGGTTCCTTCTAGACAACCTCACTACATCTTTGATCACAAGCTCTGGGTCCTGTGAGGATCTGTGACACTGGAATACTGGAAGGAAACCCCTAAGTGACAGAAGGACTCAGTGACCTAAATAAGGCATC